TTTGCAATTTGTTCTTCTGTTGAAACGGAAGGAGAATGTATGAAAAAAACGCTTTTCTGGATTTACCTTCATCAGGAATGTTCAAAGCCGAATATTTGAAAGACAGGGATGTATAAGAACCGAAACAGTTGACCAAAACAAAACCTATAAAAATAGCCAAATCATTATGGGGTCATCTTTGAATTTTCCTTGGAGTTCGGTATTTTTGTTATTTTACTTTTTGCCTGAGGAAGTTGAAACGTTAATGTTTTCAAAATTTGGATGATTGTTTTATTCATAGACATTGAATGCAGAATATAACATACTTTGTAAAAAATAAACACCCTGCTTTGAGCTAAAAGTTCTCTAAAACTGACGGATTTTTATTATCGATATATATTTGTTATGTTATGAGTACACAAATTCCAACTGCCTACTGACTAGTTTCTATATCCTTATATGGTATGTTTATTTATAGGAGTTTCTCATGAAAGTTGAAAAGAAGCATTATTCTTTAACTTCACTTTTCGCTATACAGATGACGCCCTGCATTAAATAAATCAACGTTATGTGACTAAGTTGATTGCATCTATCCAAATTCACTTGTAATTAAAGGTACCACAGATACTTACATCTAGAAATTTAGAATGAGAATTCAAATTTACGACAAAAGAGAGGATTTCAATTTTTCCATTGTGAATATTCCATTTCTGTGTAGCAGCATATCGGCAGTGCAAGCATATTGAGTATATATCTCGAGTCGATTCAGAGCTTGCGGGTGCTATTATCACTTACTTGAGGGAAGATTCTAACAAAGAAGATATTGCCTCCAGGGTAGTAAAGATGAATTCATCCTTCGAACTTTTAAGTGAATTCTTCCAACTCATATATCCAAGTAAACTTGAGATTTGTTATACTACCAAATCGAGAAGGTCTGTTTCATATCTTAATCTTTTCTACGATATTGACACACATGGAAGACTTCAAGCTAGAATCTTTGACAAACATGCTGATTTTAACATTGTCAACTTCGCAGTAGCATACCTTCTCTCCCATCGTATAACGTTTACATATCTCAATTGATACGTTAGTATCGTGCATCTTTACAAGACGTAGACTTCATTAGCATACACAAATCCTGCAGAGTTATTAGGAAAACTGACTGAAATAGACACTATATAAGTTTTACCGTCACGTATAGATTGACCGATACGATATATCTGTAACTTTGCAAACTGGAAACATGTTTTCGCGGTCTTTTATCTTTAGATACCGGAAAGTCGTATAATATGTCATTTTACCGATATTGTCCTATTCCCAACTGAGACATTTTGACTGAGTGTGGATGTGTATGGTAGGTATAGCATTCGTAGCAGGAAACACTTACGACATCAACACAACTGGTCTCTTTACTTTTCGATGTCATGCGATTCCCTCATTTTTGGTTGTTATCTTTATTTGTCTTCTTAATCGAATTAAGAGATTTGAACATCGGTTTAAAACTGTTGCCATAATTTACGGACGTCATCATGATTTGGTTGACCATTATCGATAATATATATGACAGATGACAACGGATATTTTCCACTTGTCATAGCCACAATACTCTCTTCCTCGACTATAGTTTTACTAACCCCTCACTAACGCAATAATCTTCCTATGTATGCAAAGTACAATACCTCAGTATTTGCCGCTCTACTTCCGGGGCTTTTTCCTAATGCAATTATGATTAATTCACTCAAGCGTTTAAATTGTCGTTTGTTTTTTATGGGTATTTGTTTCCTTGTAAGATACGCATATACATTAGAAATATTATAATTTATACTTTATTTTGGTATAATGTTTACATGGCAATTAAGTAACTTGCAACTCACGATACATATAATGCTGTTTGTTTTATATTTAAGTTCTTTAATTATAATCTCTTATGCAACAGAATATTTGAATGAAACTGAAGGTAGGCATTAATTTCTCATATAGTTTAGTTTTCTTTTTGTTAGAAAAAAATAAGTGCAAATGTTAGCTTACTTCAATTGTTATCTTTTAACCGATATATGTTGTTTCACTATTTATTTCAAGTTAACAAAATATTAAAAGTATTTTGATATCGGGTTGATAATTTACATGCACAAAATGTCATGTATTTCTTCAAATATTTGCAAACAATTTAATTCCCTGGGTTGGAGTAATTATAATAAAAAAAAAATTTAAAAAGCGAATTCACCAAAGCATTAGTTCCAATCCCTCTGAGAGAAAAGCAAATATTTGAAAAGTGCATATATAACATTGTTAGACCAAATTTAAGACGAAGAATATATAAATTGTGGTTTAGCCATGTATAACCCGAGGTTATCTGATTGAGAAAGTCTGTCATATTTAATTAAAATGTAAATGATAAAGGGATATTGAAATGGCTCCATAATAAGTATTATCGGTGTTTCCACTGTCTGTATCACTTTGCTCAGCAGCTCTTGATAAAATTGCAATCACGGCTTTGTGACGCCAAATACGTTAATCCGGTGTAAATAACTTTGATTCGGACGTCATAATTGATAAACCGACGTTGATAAGTTTGACCCGAACTTGTCAAGTCTTCTTCCGGTTTGCTGGTGAAACAAAGAAAAACAATAATTTCTGTCATGCAAAATACACAAATAAACTACACGATAAATCAATTTTCTGATTTTATTATATTTTATTGTAAAATATCAGCTGTTCGACGCAATTTGAAGTCTTTTTGAACTCGTTCGCTGCGTTCATTCGACAAAAATCTTCATATTGTGACTCATAATTGATAGTTTAGAACATCAATATGCAGACAGCCTGAGAATTGTTACTTAATATCCCGGACTACAGCCATAAAAGATTAATTATAGTTAATTCCGAAGAACATCCGATATTATGATTTCCAAAACAAAATACTTATTGCTTTTGATGCTTGCCAAGCGCATTTCTGGATTTTTAATCATTCGGCAAGACTTAGTCTAAAGCCAAAAAATCCGCCAACCCAATTTAGCATAAATAACCGAAAACAAAATCTTAAATTATAGTGTAAGCCATTTGAGTTTAACATTTGAGACACAAAACATAAATTTCAAACCTTCTATCGCATTATATTTGTATATTAAGTTCAAGTGTTATTTATAACATCCGAACGTATGTAAATGAAGGAAATGAATAAAGTATTGTTTTTAGAGAAAAAAAAATTGAATGCTTTTCATAAATAATTAATTTTTTGAAAGACCATCCCATATCTCGAGTATTAAACAATGTTTACGTGATAATATGTTGTCTAATATTACAGACAGTTTTTCCTCATGTCTAACGATGCTTGTCTATGTTTGTCATTTGATATGAATACCATATGATTAGGTATAACAGTTTTACTGTAATTGAGAAAGCAACCTAACATAGAAGTTAATCTACGTAATGCACCAAATGACCCTTTGTAAAAAAGGGTAAATTCGGGTAAATTCAACAGAAACAACTAAATATGTTGCACAAGAACCACATTCTGAATGAAATAAGATCATGAAGAGACATCGGCTATCACCTGAATTTTGACGAGAACTGAAACACAGTAAGATATGATAGGATTGGATTTTATCTTGAACTGTTATCCTTCTTCGTTTTATCTCAATGAGCAGAAGTACACATACAACATAAAAAACGCGCGTTAAAAAATTTAGAAACACTCCATTATATAGTATAAAATTGAGAAAGGAAACGGGGAATGTGTCATAGAGTCAACTACCCGACCAAAGAGCAGAAAACAGCCAAAGGCCACCAATGGGTTTTCAACGCAGCGAGAAATTCCGCACCCGTAGGAGAGCTTCAGCTATGTCTCTTTTGTTTTGTATAATGTATGTTTAAAACCTCCGTTTTCTATTCAATAATTATGTATTAGTACATGATTGCTTCATATTATTACCCATATCTTTATTTTGTGTCGAATGCTGAATAAGAATGTACGATTGCATATACAGAATTCAATAAAATATTTTTCGAAACTTTCAGTTAGTTGGGAAAAGGCTACAAAAAGCTGTGAAGTTCCAGAGCTCTACAGGCTACGGCCATCCAACGACGCTAGAGACGAAAATGGATTTTACGCTTGGACTGCAACGCATGAGGTGTCTTCAGGCTGGGCCTTCTTTCAAGGTTAAATATAAATAATGTTTTACAAGTTACGAATAAATGAATCTTTATAATCAAAATTAAAGAATTAAAGTCGACCAAGGTTCTTTATTGTATGATGTTGTATTTGATATAACGTTATTATAAGTTTAAAAAGAAGTAAAAGTGCTTGAAGAACGAGTAAGTTATGTTTTTGTTCATTCCCTACATAAATAAATTATTATCAATAAATACTACATGACTTTTTGATTAAGTCAGAAAGACTCATTTAAAGCCCTCCAAATGAAAAAAAAACGCATCGATAACGCTTAAAGTTATAATGATACCAAACAGGCCGCCTAGGAACATCTCTTAACCTGAGATATAGTTTTGATTTGGTCAACTACGGAATGATTTGTGACGTAAACTGTGAAAATCGTGTTATTACAAAAATAAGATGTGCCAATGAAACAGTTCTCCACAAAAGACAAAATGCCGTTCACCGTACGGCCTTGAATAATCGCAAAAACCCATACCGCATAGCAAGCTATAAAAGGCACCAATATGACAAATATAAAACATCTTATCTAGACAATATTTATAAATTTAACAGCGAAAATGACACAAAATTCAGTACGACATAAACATGTGAAAGGGTTAAGTGAAATCTTTTTATTTTAATCTCACTCCTTCTCCTTTTTCAATTAGATCGGTGGAATAACAATAGAAGACAAAGAACTTAATTCTGGTATAATTGATAACAAAATAACAAGTACATTCAAAACATTAGCTTATCAGAAAATTAGCAAAACACAAAAATAAGTTGTAATGTCATCAAAAATCAATATCCTAAAGTTGTCTAGATTGGTAATAAACTTTACATATTTTGCAGGGTGTATTGACATTGATATACCAAAAAGAGACAAGCAACGATTGTCGGATTACTTCGCAAATAGCAATCTCAGCTTTATTGTAGTTAGAGATAATGTTTTCCAATGTGCATTCCGTTGCACAAACTTGAATTATTTTGTCTACTATGTAAGAACAATTAGCATCATCTAGTGTTAACTTTCCCTAGTTGTAAATATATAACGAATTATTTCTACAAGTAAGTCCTTGCAAAATTGAAGGAACTTTTATTTGGTTGGACTTTATTCACTATTTGTCTTTCGCTCTTTGTTGATTTGTGTACTTTTACCTAAAACAGCAATGTATCCTGTTGAGTAATTTCTCGTATGTTTTTGTTTTAAGATTTCAATTTTTTTCTCTGTAGTTGATAATTATTTACGTAGATTATTTATAATAATTATTTTTAGAAATTGTAGTAAAATCATCATACAAAATTCAGGGCAAAATAATTTATTTTTCTATAAAGGTATCTTTGTAAAGATTGAAAAATATGGTTCTTGTCTTGAAGTTACTTTTACCGATGCACGAGATATTTGAATACTAAAGTTTTCAAATGGTTAAATTGATTATAAATGTCCTTTGTTGCAAATTTTCATAAAAACCCGACATAATCGCCGGATCGAAATTAAATTAAAGGGTATCTTATGCCAAAGGAAACACTATATAAAAAAAATTCTATAGGTATATATAAAAAACCTGTTGAAAAATGTAAAGGTATATAGTTGAGACTATTTATATTCAAATTCCTGTAGATTTGCAGAATCATACAAAATTGGAGATCACTTGGCCATATCGTTTTGCCTAATAATTATTATGTTGCATTAATTATCACAATTCTTTATAAATAAAAGGAAATGCTTGGTATACGTCAATGAAACAGTAGCCAGCAGCACAAATATCTAAAAAGGATATCTAGGGGTCAACAAACGTTTTCCTTTATAAATTATTCAGAGTACCTACTTACACGTACACATACAATCACAAGTTTGTATCTAATTGCGTCAACTTGCAACAAGACAGGATAATAAGGAACACTTGTGCGCTATAATATTTATAGAGTTCAACAAATGTTTTATATGTATAGGTATCAAGGAAACATCAAGTCCGTGCAAATTATATCGGGCTAGTTTTACATTTGGGGACTTACAGTCAATCAGAAATAACACAAACCCTAAGGAAGTAATACAAAATCACAAGACACAAAAACTAAATCAATGCACAATATTTGCAAGTTGAACATTTATTTTTTCGTCAGGATGCTCCACACTGAATGTTTATATTTATCTGGTGTAATACATGTATGCATATAATGAGATGTGGTTAACAAAATGTATATACGTCAATTAGAGAGCAACCTGTCAACACTCTTTGAACAAGAAAAGACATATCATGGTCGACATACCAATTATTCTGAATATGCATGCAATTTTGCCACTGATCGTTATCAACTTTCACATGACCATGTAAATTGGGATGCAATGACAATATATGGCAAACCTAGCATTCTAGCTGTAGATTAAAGTTAAAATAATTTAGTGTCAATACATGAACCATCCCGCTCAAGTGACTTCGTACGTTTTCACTTTGACACATTTTTTTTTACAGATGAACCTATGTCTATGCATTACCAGTATTGAAAAGTATCCAGTTACCGATAACACTGGTTGTGTTACTACCTGTCAAAACGACTCAGTTTTCTGCTCATCCGGATTTGGAATTCCGTTATTCAAGTATCAGACAGGTAGTTTGATGTTTATAATAACATAACATAAGTTTCCTTGTTAAAATGGAATTAAAATTACATGACATATATCAATTATTAATAAAAATGTAATTGGTTGTTAGGTACACAAAATTATTTCAAACCATTTAAACGCAACAACAATTTCTTCCAAAATAAAGTCCAGTAGTCCACTGCGTTTTTTATGGACAGTGCAGTCCGGTGTATCGGCGCACCTAAGACTTTTGGTTTCACTTTGGTAATCTCATTAGACCAATAATTCAATAAATTGTGTAAATAAATTCATGACATACTTCAATTTTATGAAATCTTCTTTATGTTTGGTTTCACCTTTACGATTTTATGTAATGTGAATTCAAAATAAATGAAACCCCTGTTTTGACAGTTCTTCAAATGTCTGGTGATTTCGCGCATGCCTTCTAGAAATTGCTAATTATGAATACAGGAGAGATTTTATACTTCGAAATATAGTTCAGTTTGAACCAAAAAGACTGTCAAGGATTGATAAAAAATTTACTTAAAATGAAACCAATTTTATCTGATGATGTAATTTTTTTCATGGAAAATGGCTAAACATGGTTAATCATGGGATTGCAATTATAAATTTAGACTTGAACTTATCAATTTTAATCTTTTTTCGTGCCTTCGGAAAACTAAAATAATTACAAGAACGGTTCTATTTTGTGTTACATGTGAAACAATTCAAACAAGAATGTGTCCATAGTACACGGATGCCCCACTCGCACTATCATTTTCTATGTTCAGTGGACCGTGAAATTGGGGTCAAAACTCTAATTTGGCATTAAAATTAGAAAGATCATGTCATAGGGAACATGTGTACTAAGTTTCTAGTTGATTGGACTTCAACTTCATCAAAAACTACCTTGACCAAAAACTTTAACCTGAAGCGGGACAGACGAACGAACGGACGGACGAACGAACGGACGCACAGACCGAAAAACATAATGTTCCTAGGATGGGCATAACAAAAAAAATCAACAGTTTTATTCATACTGAAGCAGTAAACGAAAACTAAATATGTCAGACTGCAACTATTGACACCAGTGAATTACATGCTCCTGTTTGTGGTCAAACATATAAAGAATGTTGCGGATTTTGACATGTTTTGGAGCGCTCAACCCCGTCCCCTATACTCCGGGATAGTGGTCTGAAATACCAGCATAAGAACAAACAGTTAAAGTCAGATAGAAAGGACTTGGCTAATCAGATCGGTACGAGGCATAACAAAACAACTAATTGAGAGACACAAATATCCGATCTACGAGTGCTTACAGTTTCTGAAAGCTAGCTCAGAGACGATTACAACTAATACATAAATCATATTTTCCTAGATTTCAATTACTGGGAAAAGGCTAGTTTGCTTGTTATCATTAATTTAATAAAAACACTAGCCAACAGTAATTGTCTTAATAAGATATTAGATGACTGTCATACAATAGCAAAATTGCCATTAAATGCTTTCATTTTTAGATATGGAGATTGTACGACCGACAATATATTCATTTTGGTACCATTGTGTTTATAAGAAAGATGGCTATGAATTTGATGTAAATTGCTATTCTAGTTCATATTACTTTAGATGCGACGGAAAGGGTAAGAATCTGTATTTTACTACGTATCCAACAGAAGAACAAAATTATTTTTAAACAATATAAATAATTTAAACACTCAGGTGACTGTTCTGAATTAAAGAATAAAAAAGAAATCATTCTGCTGTTCAAGATTATATGTTGCCCTCTTAATTTTTTTGTTTTTTCTTTGGTAATTTTCTCGTTGGATTACTGTCTCATTGACGTAAACCCCACACCTCCTGTAATTCATATGTTTTCCTTTTGTATTTTCAAATGATGTTTGTCAACGATACTTTAGAATATGGAAAAGTTGTGTTGCATTTTCATTTTACTTCCTTGTAATGTATGTACTATGTTACCCTATATTTTGTGTTAAGAAGAAGGTATAAGGTCACTTTTCTGACCCTTGAATTCGAAAATAAAAAAAATCATCATAAATCTACCAAAACAACATCCTTCATAGGTTTTGAGAAATAAATATGTCAGACATCACTTATTATGCTGTTTTTATTTTTGTTTACTCTTGTAAATTTGCATTACGGCTTCAAAGTTCTTGAATTTATTGCAAAAAGCCAAAATAGCCTCATTTGAGATCTTGTCATTAATATCTAAATATGAGCAAAAGTTTTACCCATAATATATTTTGCTACAAGATATCTTTTACATAGATGTTAATGTGTGTAAGATATCTTTTCGGGTCAGGCTGTTGCACAAATATATTTTGTCAAAACATAATGCGTAAGATGGTCATTTTATGTCGAATATGTCAATTACATGTTTATGATATTACAGTGACATAACACGTGACCTTTCTGTACTAAAGTATCCAAATTATATAACCCTGTTACCAATTGAGCCTCGGTGGCCGAGTGGTCTAAGTAGTTCAATTACATTACTGTATCACTAGCCCATCAACACTGAGATTATGAGTCTGTACTACGCACGTGGCTGGTATGTTCGATTCTAACCTTAATTGACTAGAACTGTCAGTTTTCCTGCCGAAGGTCTGTGGTTTTCTCCGGGCATTCCGGCTCCATCCGCTAATAAAAACTGAGCGCCATTAAATATTAAATAGTGCTGAAAACGGCGTTAAACACCAACAATCAATAAATCATTTATCAATAGGGCTAACATACATTTAAAAGGCTTGAGTACTTTTTCTATTTTTAACAATTTCAAGGGCCAAGTAATGGATCCTTTCATACCTTCTCCTTTTAGATAAGGTATTTTACTTTGCCTTGCAACTGTCGGTAACCTATAAAGAGGACATTGCACATGTTTTTATGTAATGTTCAATTATGTTTCTTCAATTACATGAGATAATCGATTAATATCGAACTGTAACGCTTTCGTAGGCACTAAGATCAATCTGTCCCTTATTTTGTACAAATGATCGGTGAAAAGCTTCTAGCAAAAATAGTATGATATGATATCCATCCGAAACACCTCTGTTTCAGGAATAATCTTCATAATACATGTACCAAAAGTTTGGAAAGCAAAATTTATTACTGTAAGTTCAGAATTTATTGCGATGGTTATTATCACGATTTTGACATAACAAACTAAATTTCAAGATTAATTATTACGATTTCACGAAATGCTGCATTCAGATATATGAGTCAGCTATCAGAATGCGAGTTTTTGTTTTTGCGATACTAACCCAGTTGCATTAATCGCATTTATAAAACCCTCGCAATAATTTTGGAGTAATCGTTTTGAATTTAAATATCATTTGGGTAAGAGCAAGAACGCATTAAAATAGTGAAAATATGTTAATCTTCTACATTATATGCCTGGGTATATATTCAATATGTGTAACTCTAAATCGTACATAAACAATCAATGATCTGCCATCAGCACTAAGTTTTCCATGAAACAAAACCACTGAGAAATTGCTTGAGATAACCAAAGGCAAGGTTTCTGATGTGGCACTTCACTAAGAAGATTTTGCGTTTCCCGTTAAATACACGAACAGTTTTTCTTCACGGTTACTGCAACCTTCATTTTTCATGTCTTGAGTCTTGAAAATACACATGGCGAGTTCCCAATTTGCTTGTACCAGCATTTTGTATTCGTAATAGGGTCATTATCAAAAAAACATGCAAAACTATGTTATTTGGTCTTTTCAAGTCAAAAGACATGAAACTATATCAAAATGTATCAAAATAACTATTGCATATGAAAGATATGAATGTTTTGTGATACACTATACACAGTTTACAGTATGAAATGTTATAAAAACATTCTTAATTTTTTCTCAAACCCTTGGATATAGCCAAAATCAACTGTTATTTTTTACTATAAATCCCTTCAGACCTGAAATAGGGCTATTATTCATATCATTTGTTATTAGAAATTATCACTTTTTATTGCATTTGATACATACAAACATTTTTTAATGATTTGAAAGGTGTATGCTGGTTTTATAATAAAAATATTAACCAAAAGGAAAAGTCTCATTTTTTAAGTCAATGGTGTAACCAAAAGACAAATTGGTAGGGTAAGAGTTATCTTTCTCAATATTTCAGCATTTACAATAGTTTCTCCCTTAGCAATGTTACCTGTAAGCATGTTATGCAAAAGAAAACAAACATTTATGTTGAAAATTTAGTAAAACAATATTAAAAGTAAGTACAAGCTATATCGTAATTGAAAATAGTGTCCATGGTGTACCCTTATAAAAATCTTTTTTTTTTTAAATTCCTGAACTTTGAATTAGGATATATATTGATTGTAGAAACATGCACCAGGAACACCATATAAAATAGGGGAATGGAGCCCTTATTTTGTAACTAAACCTTAAAATACACCTGAAAATCAATGGTGTTACTGTCAATGGTGAGACCATTTTAATAAAATAACACCATTGACCAGCTTAGTAACACCACTAAATATATTATGACAATCAGCATTTTTTGGTGTTTCTTTCATGTTTAACAAGCGAAACATCATATTATTTATAACAAACAATACTTATTTAACAATGTTTTAACAATATCATGTATTACATATACAAAGTTTTCAAAAACTGGTGTATGCTGGTAACACCAATGACACTATTTAGTAACACTACTGACATTTTTAGTTATTGATATTATGTTATATAATTTGAGATTTTTAAGCCTAAGAATTATTTTTTCTTCTTTTTCTTTTGCTCAGTGTTCTCTGTTTTGTGTTCAGTACTTAATAAAAGTAAAATTTGAAATGTGTTGTCAATGGTGATACTTTTGTGTCATTGGAGTTACTGAAGAGTCAGTGGTATAACTATATAAAAATGCGATACTTTTTAATTTTTATTCATAAATGAAAGTGTTTTTATGTTGTATACGAAGGATTAAGCATATTCTTATCATTTCGTCTTATACATTATACATATATTCAATTTAAGTGTATTTTTTAGTATTTACAACAGCCATAATTAGGACAGCCAACTTGTTTACGACAATGTATTCTGAAATTTATGTTTAAAAAGAATGTATAGCTAGAGGAATAATGTCAATAAGTAGTAATTTAAACCTTAACAACAAATTGGAACAGTTGTTTGATGTTTAACAATAATATTTAGTACCTAAATGCATGTTTTAAATTGGTAACACCATTGACACGATTCTATCAAAGGATGACTTAAAATTGTTAAAATTGAAGGAACCCTTCATTTTTTCCCATTGCATATTTCTGAAAAATAGTTGCTACCATACTATAGAATAGAGGGACACATTTAAATGATTTAAACAATGACATCGTTTTTCCAAATATTACTTCATCGAAATTTGCATGTTTTTTTATAATGACCCAATACACCTGTAATAATTCATTACTTTAATATGTAATTTTAATTCGTTAATAAGCATTTATTCAGTGTCAACTTTATTTAAAAAATGATTCGGACCTAAGTGTTTTATTTTTTTTTTAATTTAATTTTCTTTTACTTAGCAGAGTACATTAATTGAAATCTGTATAATTATACACTGTCTTGCAGTTTATAAACAGCCTGATTACATATGAAAGACCTATTTGCCTGTCTTAAGTCGGGAACCTGTAATTCAGAGGTTGTCGTTATTTACTGTATATCATATTTATTTTTCGTTTGTTGTATTATACATAAATTTGTTTTGCACATAAATCAGGTCGTTGGTTTCTTCTTTTGAATTATTCAACTTTTTGTTATGTCGGGGCCTTTTGTAGCTTATTATGCAGTTTGAGTTTTACTCATTGTTGAAGGTCCTACAGTTGCTAACATCTACGTCATTTTGGTCTCTGGTGGATATTTACCTCATTTGCAATAATACTACATCTTCTAATTTTTTTTTGTACATTTCAACCTTGATTTGCAAAATGAAATCTTTGATGTGAATTCATTGATGTTAGAATAATTTTTAAGTTCTAAAATGTAGAACAAACCCTAACGAACTGAAATCACTTTCAATGAGAACGAAAATTATTGTCTAACTCATTCGCACCTAATTATCTGCAATATTTTCTCGTTGTGGCGGTTGGACCAGTAGCGCATCCTTGTTAACTGGTGGTGGTGGCGAAACATTTACGGCGAGCAAAATAGGCAAAAATGTCCGATTTTATATATTACTGTTTAAACAGTTTTCTAGTTTATTACAGACCTGAACTGATTGGCCATTAATACATCCTTATTTTGATCATGTCCCTATTTATGCATATACATTAACACTTTACATGTATGATCTTTACTACTGACGTAGTGGCAACCATACTAATTCAAGCCCCCCTAATTTAAGCAATTTTTCACAGGTTTTTTTTACAATTTTTAGCTGCAAGAAGGACAGTTTCTTTGTCAAAGTTTAATAATAGCAAATTTAGACAAGTATATAGGCAATTAATTGTAAGACTCGACTTCCAGTGGTCAACCCATTTCAACAAGGGCAATTTGGATATTGATAAATGCCTGTTGAAATCGATATCACGACTTCAGTCGGCATGAGCTGCGAATGAGTTAAACCTATCAATACTTCTAGAGATTAACATATGTTTTATTAAACGATTGAGTGGATTCCATGTCCAAAACTTTGTACAACTAGTAATTGTTTCGAGTATATACAAGTGAATTAACATACAAAAGATCGTAAATCAACACTTTATTTTTTAAGGGAATTGAAAATATAATGAAATTCAGTCAACTACTCACTAAATTCCTAGCTTCAGACAGGCTCATTGGTGCAAACTTTAGATCTATTATTCGCATACTCAATATGAGGTTTACACCAGTTTAGTAAGTTCTTGGTGATCTTACTATATCTGAATCAACGAAGTGACTCAAGAAAAAGACAAAACTTATTTTGTCGGTTACGTTTCGTACAATAATTTTAAGCATGTATAAAACAATAAGAGGTCACAGAATATTAAGACTTTACATAAGTCAAGTCCGTGAGAAAATTTGTTTTAACGACAAATATCGATATTTCAAACATGCGAACAAATGCATTTCAAAAACTTGAAGTAATTCTAGAATAGTTTTAGCAAAACTGACGGATTTCATGCCAATGTATACAAAAAATAGTCATTGAATATTTTTGACGTGATGATTGTTTTGGAATTTTATTGTCTTGCTGTTTTCTTTGGGTTTCTTTGATAACGAGACCAACGTAGTAACTCATTTCTTTTTTATTCAAACTGTATTTACTGAAAATTCCTTTACCATAAGCTATTCCCATTAACATTTTTTGTTGCAGATAATATTGGTCATCGAGCGAATTGGGCTTATGCTGTCAACAATTGTACAAGTTTGAACACAACATTGTCGAATGCAGTCGGTAATTCGTCATCAGATGTATGGTCAAGATATTTTCGATACAAAAAGTTATCACCAGATACTGGTAAGTATTAAAAGTTCAATCCTATATGATAGATATAATCCTTCGAGTAAATATACACTAATTTCTTTTACTTGGTGTACATGTATATACAATTAAATCTGAAATCAGTGTTTTTGTTCCTCTCATTGATTTTAAAAGATCAGCCGCTGTTTAAAGGTCTTTGTTATTATTGAAACTTCTATTAAAGAAAAGACAAATAGTTACTCTGATTTCTTATTTAAATTTGTAATTTTAACTGTCTAATGCAAAAAAAAAAGCCGATTTTATTTGCTTTCTATAGAAATGTTCACTTATTTTGAAAGAATTCAATCAGTAATATTTTAGAAAATAAAAGAAATAAATGCATTATTTTTTTTATTTTCAGTTTTTCAGTTAAAGTTTAACGAGCCAAAGTTGTGACATAGCCCATTTACTGTAACTTGATCTTAAACCGTTTTAAATAGGACGCTACGTTAAAAACAAAAATAAGGGTATAAAAATGTGCAGTAAATATAATTACTTAGTTATAAACCTTTTTCATATGTGTTCATTTTGCGATTTTGGCTGATATTTTCGTAGTGTTATTTTCAAAATCTTTCGATCGGCAGGGGGTATGTTTTAGACATATTTTAGTTATTTCTTCTATCAGCGTGATAGAATAAACAGCAATAGTGAATAACTAACAAAGTCAATCAAATCAGTACTGTGAAATGTGTATGTACAGATATATGCGATCTGAAATATTTTAAATGAAAACGGCAATTCTTAGCTAAAAGTACTGCAATAAATTTTGCAGTTTACTTAAAGCCGAGCCTAATGTCTGTGACATTCACGCAGAACCTACTTTTAATTAGTTGTTTGGATTATTTAAGCGAGATAACAATCTTGTCATTAAACCAAATAAAAATCCAACCTGAAAATACTCAATGTTACACTTCATCAATATTAGTGCATATATAAATCCCTCGTTGAATTAATAAGTAGATTTGTACAAGTGTAAAATAAAAGAAATTGCATTTTTCACTTGCTTTCAGGCGAACATGAATATGTTAAATATAGTATAGCCATCAAGTGACTTATTTTGTTTCATTATGAATATGAATTGTAAATTCATATAAAAAACAATTCAAATTCAAAATTCACATTTACATTAACTCAAAATATGAAAAGTATAGCAAAAGCATACAGCAATCGCATAACATAATGATTTCGAAAAGTATCCACATCCCATAGCATACATTTTCAATTGACCTGGGCAACCACCCTAATGCAAAAACCAATGTTTTGTATAAAGCTGTCATTTCAGTACTTTTTAAATCTAGAATAAAAGGATTGATTAATTGCTGCTTGACGACCAGCAGCAAATATCACATGGATATTAAGGACGATAACACATTAATTTCGTAAGGTATTCCCTGATTTGTAATAAACCGACACATAAATCGGAGCAAGGCACAGTCCACACGAAGACATGTCAAACAATAATACAATATGTTTTATTCAAAAACACTCCGTCACATTGACATGTGAAACAAGAGGTAAATACATACAAAATAAAATCACATACAATCATAGAAATAAATAAAACAACTTAGAAATGAAATATATTAATAATTACTTTACTTTATAATATTTTCGTTAACTTTGAAAGGAATAAAGATACATTCTTAAGTACATTAATACAAACGTGAACATGTATGTTAAATAGTTGTTTTCATTATTGCAGACAAGAAAAGACGAAAATGTGTAGCAGTTTTCATAAACACTAATAAAACATCAAACAGGGATTATATAACATGGAGCCATTATCAACACAGGAATTGTTCCGAATTGCTCCCTTTCATATGCGTGGAAGATATTGATATGGGTATGTACCATTTTTTGTTTTTGTTAGGTTTTTTTCTACTTTAACAAAATCCTCTTCTTGCTGGGATATACAAACTGTATACAAAACAGTTTATCTCAAACAAATATAACAATAAGGATAGATTTAAATATGTTGAAATATATAGAACTATTTCGAAAGATTTCAGGTTGATGAGGTAGAAATTGCATGATCTTAAGTTTGTTCGCTTCTGAAAGTTAACAATTCATTTTCAGAGAAAATGCATAATAATTCAAAAATAATGAAAATTTGATGTATTATAAAAAGTATATTTTTCTGCTTATTTTCAAATGTAGGATTTAAAAAAGAAATTTGGCGAGAAAGGAAATTTCTTGATTTTTCAGATAAAAGTGAAATTACTGGGATATGTGATTTTTGTTATTTTTTCTGCATTGCAATTCTGTTAATTGCATTGTTCGTTATAAAAATAAGGATATGTGGTATGATTGCCAATGAGACAACTATCAACCAAAGTTCGAATTAAGTGAGTGTAAGGAATTATAGGCAACCGTACGGTTTATCGCTATTTCCCTAAATATTTGTATTCCTGTACTGTTTTTAGCGTTACCGTATGCAATATACTTTGCGGTACAGTGAAACATTCTAGGAAAGGACGATATTATACCAACTCCTCAATTTATTACTTTGGGCTTGCTTTCAAAACCTGTGAGCATTCTTCTTTATTGTATTATTTAATAATGTTTTTTCTTTTGCTCAGGGTTTTCTTATATAATATATCGATATATTACAGTTAATTTCTATTCCTGTACTGATTTTTAATGTACGAATAAAAGGGGATTTAGAATGTACGTCACTGAGACAGCAATCTAACAACATATTAAAACATATAAAACATATAGAGACCAACATATTAAGGGCTTCAACAGTAGGTTCATGATCTTGGAGTTTATCAGTTCCCGGATCGCTAGTGGTATTCCGACCGAAAATCATCCAAGTTTTTTTTTACTTTTGTTGCAATTTTTTATGGAATATCACTAGTATACTAGTTAATTACATTTTTCTTTTACCTTAATTCGTTTCATGTGTACTACATGATATTTTAGACTATTCTACATGAATACTGGGTTATGTTTTATCGTTTGTGGTTTGAATTCTGTATGTTCGGTACATTTCATATATGTCTTATTTGTCGGTATAGTCGAGTTAATTTCCATTTTCCATGGATAAAGTATTGTGTTAGTCCAAATAATTATGACGTAGTCACAGCATTTATCTAAAATAGTCTTTCAATACCGTCATAGTCATGATAATTGTTTGGACTAGTATTGTGAAAATAATTGTATGAATTTCAAGTTTATATATTCGTTACAAATGTGATGTCCTGTGCTGTCGTTAATGGAAGATGATCATTGTTATTCTGCGGTTTACATGTCGTAACGACTATTATATTATTTATTTGTGCGTTTCTCTGTGCTGAGTGTTCTTGCGTTTTTTGTGCTGTATTTCTGGCACGTAGTGTTGTCATTTTAGCGATATTTTTTAACATTGCCATATAAGCGGGAGGTTTGGGTAGCCATAAAACCAGTACAAGTCAAGAATATGGCAGTTGTTATCAAATAGTTCTTTTCTATGTATGTTGTCGTTTGTTTTTGTTGCACTTCAGTGTTTCTGTTGTTCCGTTGTTTTCCTCTTATAGTTGATGTGTTTCCCTCGGTTTTAGTTTGTAACCCGAAAGTGTTTTCTCTCAATCGATTTATGACTTTTGAACAGCGGTATATTACTGTTGCCTTTATTTGTAGTAACTGCAAGTAACTGTACTCTAGTTTTTTTGGTTTTTTTTTATAATTTTGATAAGTGATATGTTTTGTAGATACCAACGTTTCCAGTGTTACCAGTGTACATTTAAACTCAAATGTAACTGACAGTTCGACGTTACAGAACCCATCTAGGCATAGAGAAAAAACTGAAAATGGTAATTGTTTATAACTATCATATGTTGACATAGACATATTTTACTATTTCCAATCATGGTGCTCTAAATAGAGCGGTACAATCATACATAACTAAATAAACAGATTTATAAAATAAACTAGAATTTTTTTTTTATAATTTAATATCTAACAGAATGGAGCAGAAAAGAAAAACAACATAACTACATTTGTGTAACTACAATTAAAGTACAATACATATAATTTAAATAAGAAAATGTGGTATGAGTGCCAATGAGACAACTCTCCATCCAAGTCACAGTGTATTAAAAGTTAACAATTATAGGTCAAAGTACGGCTTTCAAGATGGAGTCTTGACTCACACCGAACAGCAAGCTATAACGGGCCAAAAATGACTAGTGTAAAACAATTCAGACTGGAAAAACAACGGTCTAATCTATATAAAAAAACAAAACACCCTATGAACCACACCAACAAACGACACCTACTGAACAACAGGCTCCTGACTTAGGACAGGTGCATAAAAATGCAGCGGGTTTAAACGTTTTAACAGGCGCCAACCTTCACCCTAACCTGAGACAGTAGTGTAACATTACAACATAAAAAGACACACTATAAAATATCAATTGAAATGGCGTAACTCGATCAAAAAGACATTTGAAGAAAAACAAGTAAACATACACTGAACGAATAAGTTTGATCTATGACACAATATAAATACAATATTAAAACGTAGGTGCCTTTTTAACATAGACGTTACAGGTAGAAATAAAAAAGATGTAGGAAGAGCGTCAATAAGACAACTCTTACCTGGGAAAAAATGGCGTTAAATAAAACAACGTACACAGGTAAATTTAAATATAATAATTGTTATTAGGAGTACGGAAGCAAACATTTTTTTACAAAATTAATAAATTTGTTGTTCAGAGTACGAGTACAGAAGTGAAAATTTATCGTCATACTAAATAATGTCTAGTTTCTGGGCATCTGTTCCCGTGGAAGGGGAGACAACTGCTACTCCAAAGTAGCATTAACTACTAATTTATCAAAATAAATTAAACTAGTTATGCACATTAATTTGTAATATTTCCTCTCTTTTATCAAATAAATTTTGCAACATACAACCTAATTTTAATGTAATATTCTTATCTTCATTACTGAATAACAAAATTAATTTATTATCAGAGGACAAATGAGAAAAGTTTTTACAGTTTTTGTTGAAAAAAATTAAAATGGTCATTTCGCATATGACAGGTCAATGATTATGTCATTCTTTGATGAAGTTCTTTAAAAAAACTGCCTTGACGACTAATATGTACTCCAAACAAATATTAAGTGAAGTGATTTTCTATCATTTGTTATGCAAATTAGACCTACAGTCCCAGATTTGCAAATGTCCATATATGGATACTGATTGCATTACATCATCACAAATGTAGTTCCCTAGGCTAAATGTTTGTTTTCATTTTAAGTCATATTTTTCAGTAGTATTTTACTCACACGGCGTACATGGCGTCTGCATGCTGGATGGCATTATTCGGATATAATTGCACAATTTTATTGTAGCTCAAGTTTATTTGTTGTAAATAAGAGTTCCTCTAAAACAATCTAATGATCGCACATTTTTCGTTATGAATGCAAATTTTCATCTGATTTTGATAGGAGTGGAAATTTTGCGATATTACGGACCTTTGAAGAAAATTGTACCTTTTTTTTTCTTTTTTTTTTCTATTTTTTTTGGCGGGGTGGTTGATGCCTGTAGATTTTGAGATGTTTTTGGTGAAAAGTGTGTAATAATAATTTGATAAATGTTTTGGTTTTCGTTCCGATTGACCGACTTTTCGCGATTAGGGTTCCAGCAGGGGCAATTGTGTCGTGTCGACACATATAGTTCTAAATTAATATAATAACAGTTATATTTCTTTCAATTTAGATGTAATTGTAATAGTAAACATTGTGCTGTTGACGCTCTCCATAGTAATGATTGTTCTCTTTTCAGTAAGGTATGTTTTGTATAACTGATTAAAGATTTAAATGATTTTTCGACTCTGTACACTACACTACTACACAATCTTAGTTCTCTTATTTAATTAAATGGTCCTTTGAAAAATCCGGTTTCAGATGTATTTGCTGTAATTCATTTAAAGCATTCTTCTGTAATGAAAAAGTGAAATGTGATAGATATACTTATTGGAACTGTGATGAGATGATTAAAGCTTTATATTTCTTCTTTACAACATTTATGTACGTTTCGGTAATACAATTTATAGACAGGTTGTATGTATTCCCATGGGCAACAATTGCGCCCCTTTAATAGCAGACTTGTTCCTGTATTGTTATGAATCAGAATTTAAGGCAAAACTCAGTAAAGATCCGTCTAAATTATATTTAATTGATTATGGGTTTTTTCTCATTGTTGAAGGCCGTACTGTTGCCTATAATTGCTAACATCCATTTCATTTGAACTCTGGTGGATAGTTGTCTCATTCGCAATCATACTATATCTCCTTATTTGTATATAAAGGGTAACTACATGTACATGTACGTGTACTACTAAATTACCTAAAGAATAGTTAATACTGATTAATTTACAGCACAGAGTTTAAGCATTTATAAAAGCAAATGGCATCCTTTTATGCTTATATAGTATAATAGTTTATATGATACAAATGTATAAGTAACAACTACTATTTACAACAGCTAAGGTTATGTCATGTATGCACTGTACAAGAATTTTGTTCATCGTTGATTTATTAAAAGTGACTGAATTGTGTCTTTTACATGACTTTAATGATCATAAAACTGAATGATTTGATATGAATATCTATAATTTCTAAAAAATGAATATTGCGCTGCAAAAGTTTTGTATTTCTTTCTTTTCTTTCTTTTTTTTTTTTGATGGGGGGTGTGGATTTATTTCATTTTTTTTTGGGGGGGGGGTGTAATTTTATTTGTTGTGTTGCTATATCTCTTTGATCTTCATCCAAAAATCATCTTTTATTCATATGTATTTATTGACTGTGTAATTGAGAGGGTATGTAATTCACATTGAACTTTATTCACAGCAGATACAGTTACAGTATTTTTTTAAATATGTATACATGTAGACAAATTATATACATACTAAAGGTCAAGTTACAGTAAATAGGCTGTGTCACAGATTTTGGTAAAATTTTGCATACAACTTTGGCTCGTTGAACTATAAGAAAAACCTCCTTAAATTTGTCCTAAAATCATCAAATCTCTAATTTCGAATACAAAGCTTTTTCTTAAAAAAAACTATATTTGTTGATACATAAATTTCCGTTTTAAAGATATAAAATAATCATATCATTTAAATGGAATTTGATTAAGACAAATTTAAGATGTTTTTTGCCGATTTTATGTGCTTTCTATACACATGTTCGCTTTTTTTGAAAGAATTCAATCAGTAATATTTCAGATGTGATTTCAAAAGAAATAATGCATTTTTTTTATCGATTTCTGGTAATAGTTCAACGAACCAGAGTTATATGCAAAGTTTTACCAAAATCTGTGACATAGCCCAATTACTGTAACTTGACCTTAAGATTATTTCGATATTCGTGTTTTGTTTTAGGGTATGCTGCAAGAAGACTATCGACCCTAAATAGTTTGAAGCTGATAGCAGTAACATAAAACTTTATTTATGTATACACATCATTTTAGATGATTACTATCCTCGTTGAAAAATCTTTTCTATCGTTTTTTTTACAACGATCGTTAATTATCATATTATTCTATGTTTTCTTTATAAAATAAATTTTACATCGTATTTTTTCAATATTGTTGAAATGTTAAAAGATACAGATGAGTCATTATTTTAGAGCAGACAATGTGCATATTTTATAGCCCCACCCCCCCCCCCCCCCCCCAAAGCTTCTAAGGGAGAAATACAGCTGTCCGTCCGTCTGTGCGTCTGTTTCTATCATATTTTGTTTTCATTAACATCAAGTCATTATAGCTCATATAATGATTTTTTAAGATATGAGGACAGACTTCAAAACTGGAGGGACGTGTGAGCTTTTGTTGTGTGCTGAATGCCTAATATTAGAGTCAGTGCGACTATGCGATGAAGACAATCAATAAAAGCACTGTTCCTTTGCTTTGTTCTGATGTTGTTAAGTGCGTGTTTTGATTTTCTGTCATGAAGCAACAAATCATTTGACTATCCCTATTTCATTATGTGTTTGAGCGTACAAAGTCACCAATATCTTTCTTTTAATATCATATAGTTCCAGCAAGAAAAAGAATGTCGACAAACAAAATTGAAAGTAATTGCAACAAGGGCGTGTGTTAGTCTGATTATTTTGTGGGTCAGTTTGACATTTATTATCTGATTGTCTCTCATGATGCTGCTGGAAACAAAAACATTTTTAAAAAAATGATGACAATTTTCACTCACAGCAATAATTTCAAGTTCTACTGTAATGTAGATTTAAAAAGAGAGTATGCCAATAGAGTTGGTATTTATAGAAATTACGTTGAACTTTTTCAATAACAATATAGTGCAAAAATTGCTTTTCTTAAACCAAACCAAACCAAAGACCAGAACCTGACATCTATCCATATTAGATACGACCGGGTTTCTATTTGTACCTTTTGGGTTTTCTTATCTGAATTGCACACTTTTTCTTATCTTTTACTCTCAAAACTTTGGTAACGAGTGTACCTGGTAGAGGTAATACCAGTAACACATGGTGAGCACTTGGATATCATATTTATTCTACTCCAATTGATAATTTGTTCTGAGCATGCATGAAGTATTTGTCGTCAGACGTTAAGCAATCAACAATCAATCAACACATTAACAATAGGTATATAAAACCGAGAAGACTTCGCAACCAACAAACGTAGCGATAAAACTACCACAAAACTCGTAACGTTTTCTCTAAACTCGAATTCATGGCTGCAATATTAATCATGGACTTCGTTGCAGACGGTTTAGATACCTACAACAGTGTAACCGACAATATGATTTGACAAAACAAACTGACATATTGTTTGACATTTAAGTATTATAGCATCATGTATTTCATATTCTGATATATTTTGAAGGCATAAGTGAATTTATATCATAATGCTACTGATGTTTCATCAACGCGATATCTAGTTTCGTTATTGTCCAACTTTAATGTAATGGTAATAAAATTGCCATGCGGACTATTGTTATGAAATATTCTGACCTAAATGTTTGTACTTCTTTAAAAATTTGAATATTCATAAGCTTGTCTGTCCACTTCCAACAAGCTACGGTTATCTATGTCTCTTTTCTAAAATGAAATTAATGTAAGTACATGTTTAAACAACTGAAAATTCCTGCCCCACATAATTTTTAAATATGTTTTTCAAAATATATGATAGCTAAGATCTCCAAATATATGAAAATAGGGGAAATTTTTATCTTGCAATTAGGGTTCAGCTCTTCCGACGAACGGAACAGACTACTACAAAGCATTCAAACAACGACAAATAGTTTCAACAACAATACCTAACTTATATCATAAGTTTTCATAACCGGTTTGAAAGTACTTGAAGTTTGTTTCTTATTCTAGAAATAGGAGTATTATGTACTCTTTTATTTATTTCTGAATTATTTTCAAAATATGATATTCGAATATCCACAACATTCATACATTTATTTAAATAAGAATCAATAGATTTCTTTATCATATTTTCCCCGTATACACCAATCTTTACAATATGACGAAAGAGCGTCTTTTGTGACATGACGACACAATTTCCAATCTATTTTAGAGAGAGGACGATATTCCAAAAGGTTTTTAACCTGTCGGTCTTCTTAAACTATTGATGTAAATTCAATTCATTGTCATTGTACGGCGAAAAACGGAATACAAAACATTACACAAAAGCTACGGGAATTTCATTTTAATCTGGGTGTGAACTCAGTTGTTCCTGTAAATTAAGATAAGAAATTATCGGATTTCATGTGACCCAATTTCCTCAGTTTCGCCCCCCCCCCCCCCCCCCCCCCCCCTCCCCTCATAAAAGAAAAAAAATATCATTCCTATTTCGATTTATTTTCTCGAATGTCGAATCAATATAACTAAGCTCCAGAAAAAGAGAAAAAGAGAAGAGTTTGGGAAGATGAGACATGTTCAATGTAGTTTACAACAGTTACTGATGAATAATCATTGAGTACCGCTGAAGTCGACGATGGAGACAGTCTTGACTTTGCTTTAAGATGTCAACTATTAATTTCATCATTGAATACTTCAAGCAAGTGCCACGATGAGAAACAGCAATACATATCTTTATCTATGCCTATCCATTCCCATTATTCAGGAGCCTCGGTGGCAGGGTGGTCTCAGTAGTTCATCTACAGTACCATTAGCCCTGTCAACACTAAGGTTATGAGTTCGAAACCCGCATTTGACAGGTGCGTTCGATTCAGAGATTGCCAGTTTTCCTGCCGAAGGTCGGTGGTTCTCTCCAGGCACTTCAGCTTTCTCCATCAATAAAAACTGATATACCAGAGAGTGCTGAAACTCCAACAACCAGTCAATCGATCAATCCTATCATTTCACGATTTTTGTTTTGTGGTACATCAACTATTCTCAAATCCAAAATGTGATTAGTTCTTTATATCAAATAACATAATTATCATAAATGTTTTTGTGGTTACACTTCGGCGGAACATTTTTCACCCATACTTAGGATAATCACAAATTATGAAATAGATAAGTGATTGGACCATGAGGATTCACAGGAAACTTTGCTTTATATCAAATCACCTACGGATCACCCGAACATGCTAAGATGGTGGCATTATGCAAGTGCGTCACAAAACGGAAAGAAAGACGGGAACAAATGTATTAATAACAAAACACTTTAGTACAGAAATTCCACTTGTGAAATCACTTTGATGTTATTTAAAAATATGCTTAAAATTGTTACCTAAAAGAACAGACAAACCCCGTCACATAATCATGTGCCTGTCCCGAGACTACAATCTTCTTAGAGGTTGTCTTATGTCATATCTGAATGTATTTTGTTATATTGAAGTTTGGTGTTAATGACAGACCCGGTAATGTTTATGTATACTTAATAATAAATTTTATAGACTCTGCCCTATTTAGAGCTTGCCATATAGTATAGATAACTGACTACTGTTGAAGACTGTGTATTGCTCTCTACATGTCTTAAGGTTATATTTATCGTTGGGTTACTGTCTTATTGGCGTATACCCCACCTCTCATTAATTCATATACCTGACCTAAAACTACCGTATTACACTCAAAATTATTTTTAAAATAGACATGACGGAGAAATTTGACAATGAAATGTACAGACGACACATAGAGGACTCTTTTAAAAAAAGGGTTATATATTTATATATATCATATTGTTGAATAAAATCATATCTTACTATCGGCCAAGATAGTATTTTTTATCTGAAAAATAATTAAGCTAATGGCTTTCGAAATGATGTTTTAATATATTCAACATAGACATGATAACGACGAGGCTGAAAAATGAAGAAATGTTATTTTTAGAAAAAGTAACAAAGAAAACAACAGTGTAGACTATGATACTCAAATATGAAAATTATAAGACATTTTTAGTAAAACTTAGTTTAAGGTGGTACCTAACACTACCAGGAGATAACTCTGTAAAATCAGCTAAACGTTTTAATCACATTTTATTGTTAAGGAAATATTAAGCTTCTCAATGATCAAAATTAGTGTTTATCAAACTGCTATATATCCAATGAAAATTTTCCGAGAAAGTGTTTTTTTCAATTTTTTTTCAATTTTTATATTTTTGTCAAAGGGTCAAAGTAAATATTTTGTCAAAATTTTATGAAAATTAATGAGCCAAATTAATTTTAGTCAAGGTGTTTGGTCCACCTTAATAAGATTTAGACGTCAAAAGTATTGCGGAAACGTTCCGTACATTACGGTACCTTTACGGACGTTTTGTGAATACGGCGTAAACGTTGCCAAGTAGATGCGGAGTTAACTGTCCGCAACTGAAAATTTTACGGAACCTTCATAAATAAGGTCCCAGAACTCTTCTTGTGTATTAATGCAACCAGAAACGAACTGGATGCCCCATGAAGAGTCCAGACAACTTTTCAGTGAACAGACTCTTGAATTTGTTATCTACGGTAATATAATTGGACATAAAGATAAGATAGACATATAGATCAATATTTGACGTGCTTACATATCTATATGATCATTGTACAAATTAATAATTATTGACGGATTGTGAAAAATGAATCGCCTTATAATTTTGACTCTTGGTAGCATTCTAGTTATTAGTGAAGCATTAACAACCTTAGATTATGGGAGCTTAAAAAGTATGTATTAGTATGTTTTAGACATTTGTCGAATAACAAGAAATTTCTGCGTAGAAAATATTATTTTCTGATTTGTATTTTTCTCAACATGCTATTATTTGTTTGTTTGTATTTATATATATATAAATAATTAACGTGTGAAATGCTCAATATTTAATATCTATCAAAATCTTTAAATAATGACATCAAACCTGCCTTTTCATTCTCACTGTTTTCAGTTTGACGCATACGAGAGAGTAAACGGCTATGGCAACCAGTCCTCATGGCACACAGAAAGGACATATTTGCATGTAGATGATCCAAAATTAGCGCATAAGTTTACTCACAGAAAACGTACAATTTATCAAGGAAGCAAATCTAACATTGCAAGTCTCAAAATACACAATTTCTGATATCTCGATTGTTAAGATAGTTTTGATTTCACATTTTTAAATGATTTGATAATTAAAAAACATAGTGCCTTTATCTGCTGATTGCCAAAGTGGTGACTTGGATATGTAAAAAGGGTCATTCCTGGACTTTTCCTTTCCAACAATAACCCTTGGTACACTGGGGCGTCCGTTTGGCTGCTTGGTATATATAAATACGCATCCACATCCGGTGACAATGCGGACGTTACGATCTGTTGCCTCATGCAGGTTGTACAACAAGCTGTTAAAGACCCCTTTCAACCAATCTCTAAGGGTTCGTATGTTGCCTGTTGAAAGACAACATTTTCCAATGGCAGTCTAAATTGCCCGCCCTTCATCCTTGTTTGTTTACATTGCAAAACATAATCTCGTTTTAAACATAGACGAAAATTTGCCACTGATTGTTAAGCAAACAATACACAATCAAGCAATCTATGGTATAACAAATAATTCATGTCCTCCACAAAACAATAAACAAACACTAGCTAATACTCGCTATGTATACAATTTTGAGATCGCTCCGTCTGTCAACTGGTATGATTACAACTAGTGCATAGAATGCTTTGATGACAATACATATTACTATTATTTTGATACCCCCGCTTTAAAAAAGTGGGGGTATAGTATTTTACCTCTGTCTGTCCGTCCGTCCATCCGTCAGTCTATCTGTCAGTCCATCCGTCAGTCCGTCCGTCCGTCCCATGAATATTTTTCGTCGCATCTTTCTCAGGAACTACATTACAAGGATTTCTGAAATTTGGTTTCTGGGTTTATATGAGTCAGCTTTACCGTATGATGCGTTTTCAGATTCATCACTCAACAACTTCCTGTTTACCTTATATTTTTAGCGGGGCGGAGGTATCATTAGTGCGCAGTAGCTCACAGATTCACTTGTTTTATCTTTTTAGAGCTGGATATTGAAGTTAGACGACAGATTCTGCCAATGATTGTTACCAAAATAAACCAGACATTAGCCCATGAAAAGGCATTAGCAAAGGACTGTGAGAATAAAATAAACTCTGCCGTACAAAGCTGTAAATCCTGCCAAAGTAATATATGCCAACCGTAAGGGTTCATTTACTAAATGCAATTGTATTATCATGTACTATAAACCAACTTATACAAGCAATTTATTTTTTGCGACTTTTGCGAGTAGAGAAATTACGAGTACGAGTACGAATATGAATAGTCACGAGTATGTCAAACTTAGATTCTCTCTTACAATAACAAACTTGGAAAATGACGAATATGAATCGCCGCCTTATCGGCTGACAAAGGCTAAACGCGAAAATAAGTTGGTTTACCGTATTTAAGATATTATTTTATAAATTGGACAAGTACTGTTTTATTTGAATATATATGTAAATATTCAAAATCACATGTTTTGATTATTTAAGGATTTTTTTCTTTCTCCCTTATTTCGATTTCCATTAGATTTTAGCTTAATTTCACTCCTACGATTGTCTGATTTGAATCTGGAAGTATGGGTTACGACTGACATCGGTCACGGCTGTCATTCGGTATATCGAGAAAAATGATCGTGAAAGAATAAGTTAACGGTGGTCAAGTATTGAGATTGGATCGTGAAAGACCTGGTATAGGATCGTGAAGGAAATCTTATCGAGAGGACACATACAAGGTCAATAAAAAATCTAAATTTAATGAGTTTTCATGCAAAATTTCGAAAAAATAATACTGTCTGTCAAAATGGTTCAACATTATGATCGGTATCCGAGAAAAATCAAGTTTCAAAAGTGCACCGTTTTTACAAAACTACAAATTTTAAAGGTAAATTGCTCATCGACATTTCAGCGACAAAAAAATGTAAACAAACATGATTTGTTTTCATATTTTGAATGCATAAACTATTTTCTCTCAAAAATATCGTTCCATTTTACTGTTTTAAATGGTTCTTAAAGGTATTTTGTGTTAGTTTAATCAGAAACTTTGAAAAAATTGGAATATTTGTAAAATTTTAATATTTCGGATCGTGAAAGATCGGGTAACGTTTTTTGATGATCGTGAAAAGGATCGTGAAAGATATGTTCCCGCTCATTCGTTATTGCAAAATTTCACGAAAACAATCAAATCATTCTTTAAAGGGTGACATGGTAATTTATATTTGTACTTGATATAGCAAAAGATTGGATTTGCATGACTTATTCCGCTTCACTTCTGTTTGTGAATAGGGTTATGATGGTTCAATGCCATTGGGTCTGATTATATGATAATATAATAATATAAGTCCGTATACCCGTCCTGCATAAGTTTTATGTCGTATGAAAAGTTCAGATTGTCTCATTTGATTTCCATTAATTCTTATGCACAGTCATATCTATAAAACGAAGATCCTTGTTGATGCAGTTTGTAAAAATTGGGAAAAAACTTTGTTTAAAAAAACAGTAGGAAAACAACGGTCATACTATATAGTATTCCTGACTTGGAACAGGCATGTTCTAAAGAAAATGGTTGATTACTTTAAAGCAGGTTTTCTAGCTAGCTAAAACGCCCACTTGAATGGCAATTTTTTTTATGTTTCGTAATATTGCCAAATTGGGTGTCTGAGCAACCCAAACAGACATAATTCGTTAACGTTGCCATTACTGGGATCAAGCAGCCAAAACTGTGTAAATATACATCACAGACATACAACACAACGGAATAAAACGTTCAAACACACTTACAATAAAATCAAACAAAGACACCAACAAAAAAATTGTTTGTAGTTGATAATGCAGTCAGTGTAGTCAAGCATAATGACATACACTTTCCTAATAACATACAAAATAAGTAAAATGTAAATTCAAGGGTACTATACAGAATGAAAACAACACTATAAAAACCTCATGTGCCCGAATCGCATCTCTTGACTCAGTCGCATAAGGAACGCCAAAAGCCAAAAACCCGAAACCCCGCATATACCGAACCACTTCAAGAGTCATACGACCAAATGGAACATACTAGTACGTACTAGCACAAAGACAAATTAAGTTAAAACTGTAAAGTAGATAAAGTTCTACACAGATTCAGCAGAACCTAGAATCTATAACTCAAGACCGTCTTGTATTACTTGTGAAGTAGACACTGAATATTTATGTATTAGGTCTTGATACTTTCCAATAAACTTTTCATATTCTTTCACAAAACCCTGGCTCATTATTTTTTAGCTCAGACACTGATGACGTTTTACAAATTCTGAAAAGCAGCTGCAAGCTCTTGAATATCGTATGCATTGAGAAATGTATATTATATAGGCGGATGAAGTTGGTAAACTGATGCCAAAGTGAGGAAAATTTATAATTCCAAATTTGAAATCAACTTGTTTGTCATAGATTCAGGTATTGAGATGACCGCTGTAGTCAAATTCGGGGTATATATGTCTAAATATGAGGCTGGGGAAGCTGTACATGTGGTGTCTGTAATCCCTAGTTCAGCAGGACTATTACTGGGACCCAATCAGAATAGCTTGTATTGTTAATGGAAACTACATCTTCAATATACCTGTATGTAAAATCAAATGATATAGCTTCTTTGATCTAACCCTTACCAAACCAAAAATATTTCCAGAGGAAGACCACCAGACCCCCTCTCGCTTCACACGTTCGTGGATTCATATAGCATTATAAATACAAAGATAATTACTTTTCGACAATTTGCGCTCTTGGAGGTCTTATTATCTTTGATTCCTAGATAGCACTGCCTCTTAAATGACAACAGGTCTAAATATGGGCCTATATGTATACATAGAAATAAGAAGATGTGGTATGAGTGCCAATGAGACAACTATCCATCCCAGTCACAATGTGTAAAAAGTAAACAATTATAGGTCAAAGTACGGCCTTCAACACGGAGCCTTGGCTAACACAGAACAGCAAGCTATAAAGGGCCCCAAATTACTAGTGTAAAACAATTCAAACAGGAAAATCAACGATATAATCTATATAAAAAACGAGAAACGAGAAACACTTAAGAACCACATCAACAAACGACAACCACTGAAACAGGTTCCTGACTTAGGACAGGTGTAAAAACATGCAGATGGTTTAAATGTTTTAAAAGGCGCCAACCTTCACCCTAACCTGAAATAGTAGTGTAACATTACAACATAAAAAGACACACTATAAAATATCAATTGAAATGGCTTAACTCAATCAAAAATATATATTCACAAAAACAAGTAAACATACACTGAACGAATAAATTTGATATATGACACAATGTCAAAAATACAACTACAACCTTGGACAAAATGGCGTTAAAAAAAAAAATGTACACAGGTGTATTTAAATATAATAATTGTGTTGTTAGGAGTACGGAGATATTTTTTACAAATAAATAAATTTGTTGCTCATAGTACGAGAACAGCAGTGAAAATTTATCGTCATACGAAATACTTATCAAAGGTGGTACATATTAAAAATAGTGAGACGAGATATAACACAAATTAAGCAAACATTGAATAACAAAAATGCATTAGAAATTGTGTAATAGGTCAACTTAACCCGAAAGTACATGTATATAATTATATTTCACAAAAAACACCCATTATTTACGTTCTTAGTAAGTGATTACACGCTTCAACCAATTACAAGTATATCAATTTGTAAAAAAAAATTTGTTTTCTGATCATTAAGTATGATCACACCTTGTCTTTCACGATCAATATAATGCGTTGCCTGATCTTTCACGATCAATTTTGATTAAAAATCAACAAAATTATACTTTTTTTCAAAAATAATATGATTTTTTTCAAGTAATAACATACTTTTATTTACTAAACCATCTGTCACACAAAAGATTAAGTTTCAAATATATCAAGATATATTGGAATGTGACCATTATAGATACAAAACGTGATTTTTCTTAATGATTCTCGTTGGATCGTGTGTCGCCTTTTGCGTTTTCTTGGAAAGTACTGCATTTTTTCTTTAAAATAGTGGACAGTATTATTAAGGAAGTTGAATTATTTTTACGGACATAATTTTATTTTCTGATTTGTTTCACCTTTTGAAAATACCGCAGATTTTTTACAGATTTTGAAGTAGAATTACACTAAATTGCATTTACGATCCGATGCCAGATCTTTCACGATCCAATCGCAATGCTTGATCACCGTTAGTTATTCCTCCACGATTATTTTTCTCGATATACCGAGTGTCGGTAGACTGATTCGATATTTGAACTAAAAAAGCGTTAAGATGACAAAGAATCAAATCAATTGTTTTTGCCAGGACTGTCTTTCAACTTCATTGACTTCAGGTAGTAAAACAATATTGGTTCTAATATTGTTTGCTTGCTGTGTTGTACATTTTAAAGCTAATGATTATTTATTATTTGCACAATTTACATATTTATCTAGTTATTGAAATCAAAAGCTTTAGTGAAAATTCACAAAAAAATACACGTTCGTGTCGAACTTTGTTACAAAATAGTAAAATGATGTACATGATGTGTGCAAAATTAGAACAAAGATAGCTGTCAAAAATGAAAAAAAAAATATTCTGCCAACTTTTTGATGATAGTTCTATATGTTAAAAGTATAAACTTTCTTTATCTATAGGACAGTCGTTGACGAAATAAAGCATGTTGCTGAAAACGTAGGACACTCGGTAGGCAGTGCTATAAAACGTAAGTCAGATATTTAAAACATGTATACATTTAAATTGTATTATTGACAATGTTACTTGTACATCTCTTTATAAGTACACCATTTAATTGAATTGTATACTTAGCAGTAGTTACTCTATAGATTTGTTTTTATTTGGGGTTCTGAATTTTAGGTTTTTTTTGTGTAGATTTTTTTTTTTTACTGTTTAACTAAGATACATGTCTTCTTTTGACTTATAATTTATTATTCTCTCCTTGCTATGTTCTCCCCTCTTTTATATCTCAATTAAAATATTTGTTCAACGTTATAAAACTTTTCTGTCGAAGCATTCCAGGAATGTACTAACTTTTTCATTTAATTTCAGATATCTTTGGAAAGCGTTCAGTTTTAAATCTGAAGAAAAGGTGTTCACAATCATGTCCCATTTGTGACACGATCGACATTCATAAACATTCAAAGGAACAAACACTAGTCGCAGGTAAATTTATTTGAACTGAAGAATAAAACTACACGACACCGAAACTAATTTAGTGCACCAATTTCGCATTTCGTCTTTTTTGTTTTCAGTGGTACTGCAAACCTAACAAAAGTCCGAATGAATCTCACACATAAGGGCTTCTCTGTTTTACAATTCAAAGTGCTCTCAGACTGTTGTTAATCTTAATTTCATATAACTGATTTATCATATAACACTTTGAATTTATGCACATTATTAAACCTTGTCCCTGTTTTTTTCAAGTATCTGAAAATAACTGAAATGTTTAACATCACAAAATATACACTTTTCACCCCTTTAGTAATTTGTATATGCTTTTATTTCACTAGTTTGTGGGGCATTCACAATTTCAGCACAGAAGAATGATATCAACACAATCAACAGACTTCGAGAAAGATACGATGCAATTCTTCACAACCATCTTGTTACTCGAGTGAGTAATAATTAGCATTGTGACTTGTATGGAGAGTTGTCTCATTGGCACTCATACCACATCTTCTTATATCTATCAATCAATATTTGTGTTTGATTTTATTTACACTGTATTTATCATTCTTTAAAAGGAGTAGGTCCGGTAAGGGCCGATTTTGGCCTCAAATTTCAGGTTCATCCGATGAAAGATTTTGAACACTTTTTAAACACTTAACTGTCTACTTCAGTCGATTCAATTATGTAATGTGAAAGATTTGAACTGGCTTAGTCATTTCAGACGCTCAAAGTCAAGCTGAAATATGAAAAATCTATCAAATATGCCAAAATATGTCACTTTTCAGATGTTTTTTGTCAAAAATGAAAGTGGCCGCATCCGTGTTTACTCTCAACCTTAATATATGTTATGTATTATCATAAAATACAACTTATATTTAAATATTAAGAATGAACACAAATGCGGCCACTTCCATTTAAGACGAAAACCGTCTAAAATGTACCTCAAAATGAATGCTTAAATTATGAACATTTCAGTAATTTAGCGTGGCTTAAGGGTGCTAGTACCCAATATATGTGCATTGTATTGTCAAAAACAGCCAATATTTATGCAGCAGAAGTATTCTACTTTCCAAAAAATAACTTAAAGTTTACATTTCAACAATTTTGTAAAACTGCTATATTTTGGGGCCTAAAAGGGGTCTTACTGAACCTACTCCTTTGACTGATAATGTTCTTGTTATTCTTATTTGTTATATTAACATAGCCCTAAAGAAAAAAGTGCTTGATAACAGAATTACATGTATGTATTAACTCATTAGAAACGCAGCGTATACCCTAACGACACTTATTAAAAAGAAAATGCTCGACAATCGTAAATTCGTTTTTACATTTTTTAGAATTTCATCGGAAGATGTAGAGATGAAAACTGTATCTTCATTTTCTCCATTCACAAAATTACATTTTATCGCTTGGTTTGACAAATTCTCAATGAAACCTCTTTCCTTATCATTGAAAAATATTCAAGCAATCGGCTATCAAAACTTACCTACGTTAGTGGCGGTGTGAATTAGATGTTGCTGTTGTTCATGTTACGACGTATACCAAATTTTTCATTTATTTTATACGTACAGTTGTATTTTTATATTAAATTTAAAAGACCCAAAAGAAAAGAAAAGGCTAAAGATAACTGTAACTAACGCGGATCTGCTGTTCAATTAGATCAGATAACATGCTTCAAATGGCTAGATACTAATACAAAACATTTAACAAACCAAACAACATTTAAAGATGTATGCTTCAAATGGCTAGATACTAATACAAAACATTTAACAAACCAAACAACATTTAAAGATGTATTCTTCTGACGTTTAATTCGCATTCGAAACGTTTAACGTCCAAACGTAAATTCTAATTCGAATTTATGCCTCGTTCACACGTACATTTAGTTCGAATTGAATTCGAATCGAATGCGAATCGAATTCGCTAATCGCGTTCACACACTCTTCTTTTTTAATTCGAATTGATTCGAATTGGCTAAATCGCATTATCCAATTCGCTTTAGAAATGCGTTTTTGTTAATACGAATTAAAAGTTAACGTCGTTAGGACAGTAAAGCGAATTTGACGCGCATTGCAATTCGAATTAGAATTTACGTTTGGACGTTAAACGTTTCGAATGCGAATTAAACTAATTCGAATTAGTTAATGCGAATCGAATTCGAATTACGTGTGAACGCAGCATACATGTACGTGTGAACGAGGCATAATCTTACCAGATACATGTACATCCCATATCAATTTTTTCTTTTCAAATTTCTTAGATATGTATTTTTTTCAGTCATTTATAACAAAGAGATTGAAATAATATGCTTTTTGTTCTAAAAAAAGAGAAAAATCCCAAATTTACAAAATCGACAACATGGTAAATTTGACACAGAAAAGCAACAAAATTTTATAAAACTTTCTTATATTAACACCTACCTATAGTTTTTTTTAAGTTAAATTTATTCAGATTGGTCCACTTCATCTTTAGTGAAAGTATGAACAAAAGTTTAATTGTGAAACTGTGATTTTTTTCATGATAATAGCCCAAAAATGGGTAAAAATTCATGAAAAATGAGAAAATCATCAAAAATGGGTACTTTCAAATGGCTGTAGCAAAAAAAGAAGTGCACCACCATATGATTTTCTTCACCAATTATTTTTTTTACAGTTATATAAACCTAAAAATCAGATTAAGAAAAAAAGTTTAATTCTAGAAATTTTTGGCTCCTCAGAGGTGTACATCCTTAAATACACCAGACAAAATCACTTTTAATATAAATACGGAAGAAAATGATAATTTAACCATTTCATTCATAATACTTTTTGAATGTTTAACTTACAACTTATATATCAAGTGCCCTCGTAAAGATATCGTAATTATTGTATTTTAAATATTTATTTTAGGTTGACTACGATACAACATCTATAAGAACTAATGGTGGTGTGTCGTTTACGTTAAATTTTGTTACCTACATAATACAAGGACATAACCACCGCTTCCAGTCTAGTACAGAACTAAAGATTACAGATATACCAACAACAGCAAAAAGCCTGGCTCATCAAATATTCCCTAAAATGTAAGAATGGAAGAAGGTGGTTCGATTTTGACGAAAAGTAAACTCAATCGACACACTTTAACGGACAAAAAAGTTTTGGGTATCAGTTAATGAAACAAAACCACCATACGCACACATGAAAAAGCAAAAAGCAAATGAATAGTACATGTATTAATGTTCTTAATCTCAAAATCCCAGTGCGGTCTTCCACATGGACAAAAACTCTAACCTAACTGAAGCTTTCAGACGGCTACTGGCTACAACCATGAATTAAATAACACAGCTGTTGGGCAATATCAACAATTATGAACTATATCTGCCGATGAAATCTAACAATTACTTCATAAATTGTCCAACTTTCTCCCTGTAGAATACAGAAACAATGCAAACACTAAGACCAAAAAATATCTACAGTGCATATTTCTTGTATTAAAAAAGTATTTGTCGGTGAAAAATTACAAGTTGACTCAAATGTGGTAATCCACTGCACTGCAGCATTGCAGCATTGAACGATGAAAATTGATGAAAATTAATTTATTTCATGTATTCTGATATTGAACCTGAAAATGTATTCTACAAGTATGCGTACTCTTCTTTTTCAGCTAAAGAGAAATATGGACAGTAAACAGCAAAAATAAACAGATATAGAAAAAAAAATTAGTAATAACCTTTTTGATTCAATTTACAACCAACAAAGTCAAGGGAGAATTCGAGTGAAACCAATTGGCCTTTCTCTGAAAATGCATATGACTAATTTAAAGGCCTTCTACCAATAATCTAAACACAAAAGAGAGAGAGAGACAGAGAGAGAGAGATGATAAACATTAATAAGATAAATAACAATCTATACAACACGAGAAATCCACAAAACACAAAGGTCAAAATACGATCTTCAAAATCTCTGAAGCTCTGAATAACAAAAAATCAAATAATTTGTAGTAAGGGTAAGCCACTCCGATATAGTCAAGAGACATCATGTTATAACATGAACGGTTACTTCAATACTTTGCTCAGTAAAAGAGAGGCGAAGGATACCAAAGGGACATTCAAACTCATAAATCGAAAATAAACTGACAACGCCATTGCTAAAAACGAAAAAAAACCCAACAGTATACAAAACAACAAAGAAAACCAAAGACTGAACCCCACCAAAAACTGGAGGTGATCTCAGATGCTCCTGAAGGGTAAGCAGATCCTATTCCACATGTGGCATCCCTCATGTTGCTCATGTAAGTACAAACATGGTGATATGTCTAATTTGGTAAGTCCATTTCGGAGGAAAGATGACGATATTGTAGTTACGACAATTGGAACATATACGTCGTCATCTGTGATCAGATATTCCATAACGGTCAACCAACTCGTGATAGCGTCTGTAAAATTGACGAAGGGATGATTTCAACTTCACCACTTTGAACACTTGGTTTAATAGATTCCTTGTGAGCAGCAGTCAAGATATGAGGTAGACTTAACAGTGTCTGTTGTATCATTTATCTCAAGTTCGATGGAATACATGCGTTCAAAGTAGTCACCATATTTTGAATAATTTAGTGAGAGAATCATTTAGAGATTTATAAAGTTTGTAATACAGGGATTAAATCTCCTGAAACTTTCAATAAAAATTCAATAACGAGCATACGATGAAAAACACGCGACAAAAACCATCACAGGCAAGGCATTTAACTGTGACCACCATATATATAGAGAGAGATATAAGAAGATTTGGTATGAGTGCCGATGAGACAACTCTCCATCCAACACACAATTTGTAAAAAGTAAACCATTATAGGTCAAAGTACGGCCTTCATCACGGAGCCTTGGCTCACACCGAACAGCAAGCTATAAAGGGCACCTATAACAGTATTGTTAAAATTATTGACACTGACGAAGGCTAGCCGAAATATTTGTCGACACGATTTTATAACATCATCTTCGTATATTACCATCTTATATTAGTACTGTTGTGCAAATCTTTAGACTTATATAATTTTTTTCTTATCTGCGCAGTATCGTCTATTCTAGACGATCCGGTACATATTAAATTTGCTGGTTGGTCTTTTTTATAGACTAGACTTCTATATATATATATATATATATATATATATATATATATATATGAACAAGTCTAAATTGAAAACAACGTTCAAACCTATGATTGCGTTGGATAAAAACCGCAATTTTTATACGTGTGCATGCAAAACAAATTTCTCGGTAGAGGGGTCTAAATACAGCACAAACAACATTTTCCAAAAGACCAAATGAGTGAAAAAGTATATTTTAACAAAACGCATTTGACTAGCAGGTCGAACAACTGATGTTCTTAAACCCTGCTGACTGCCATTGGCGATTGCCAAGTAAACGGATCACAAGATGTAACAAAACAGATCTTATTAGTAAATTATTACTAAACAGAAAACAATAAACTTGCGGAAAAGGTGGTATACCGCAAACATGAGGTGCAAAAATTTGTACACCATATCCGGATTTCGACAATTAATGTCTCTTCAGTGATGTTAGGAATCGAAACGGTATTTGGAAGGCCATATAATTTACCTCAATTTAGGATAGACTCTTGAATTTTGAAAGAGTCAAAATAGGATGAACGGATCATATAAACCCGAAGGCAAATATAATACAAGCCCAAACGAAAAAATATAAACAAGTCTAAATTGAAAACAACGTTCAAACCTATGATTGCGTTGGATAAAAACCGCAATTTTTATACGTGTGCATGCAAAACAAATTTCTCGGTAGAGGGGTCTAAATACAGCACAAACAACATTTTCCAAAAGACCAAATGGGTGAAAAAGTATATTTTAACAAAACGCATTTGACTAGCAGGTCGAACAACTGATGTTCTTAAACCCTGCTGACTGCCATTGGCGATTGCCAAATAAACGGATCACAAGATGTAACAAAACAGATCTTATTAGTAAATTATTACTAAACAGAAAACAATAAACTTGCGGAAAAGGTGGTATACCGCAAACATGAGGTGCAAAAATTTGTACACCATATCCGGATTTCGACAATTAATGTCTCTTCAGTGATGTTAGGAATCGAAACGGTATTTGGAAGGCCATATAATTTACCTCAATTTAGGATAGACTCTTGAATTTTGAAAGAGTCAAAATAGGATGAACGGATCATATAAACCCGAAGGCAAATATAATACAAGCCCAAACGAAAAAATATAAACAAGTCTAAATTGAAAACAACGTTCAAACCTATGATTGCGTTGGATAAAAACCGCAATTTTTATACGTGTGCATGCAAAACAAATTTCTCGGTACAGGGGTCTAAATACAGCACAAACAACATTTTCCAAAAGACCAAATGAGTGAAAAAGTATATTTTAACAAAACGCATTTGACTAGCAGGTCGAACAACTGATGTTCTTAAACCCTGCTGACTGCCATTGGCGATTGCCAAATAAACGGATCACAAGATGTAACAAAACAGATCTTATTAGTAAATTATTACTAAACAGAAAACAATAAACTTGCGGAAAAGGTGGTATACCGCAAACATGAGGTGCAAAAATTTGTACACCATATCCGGATTTCGACAATTAATGTCTCTTCAGTGATGTTAGGAATCGAAACGGTATTTGGAAGGCCATATAATTTACCTCAATTTAGGATAGACTCTTCAATCTTGAAAGAGTCAAAATAGGATGAACGGATCATATAAACCCGAAGGCAAATATAATACAAGCCCAAACGAAAAAATATAAACAAGTCTAAATTGAAAACAACGTTCAAACCTATGATTGCGTTGGATAAAAAACCGCAATTTTTATACGTGTGCATGCAAAACAAATTTCTCGGTAGAGGGGTCTAAATACAGCACAAACAACATTTTCCAAAAGACCAAATGAGTGAAAAAGTATATTTTAACAAAACGCATTTGACTAGCAGGTCGAACAACTGATGTTCTTAAACCCTGCTGACTGCCATTGGCGATTGCCAAGTAAACGGATCACAAGATGTAACAAAACAGATCTTATTAGTAAATTATTACTAAACAGAAAACAATAAACTTGCGGAAAAGGTGGTATACCGCAAACATGAGGTGCAAAAATTTGTACACCATATCCGGATTTCGACAATTAATGTCTCTTCAGTGATGTTAGGAATCGAAACGGTATTTGGAAGGCCATATAATTTACCTCAATTTAGGATAGACTCTTGAATTTTGAAAGAGTCAAAATAGGATGAACGGATCATATAAACCCGAAGGCAAATATAAAACAAGCCCAAACGAAAAAATATAAACAAGTCTAAATTGAAAACAACGTTCAAACCTATGATTGCGTTGGATAAAAACCGCAAATTTACACGTGTGCATGCAAAACAAATTTCTCGGTAGAGGGGTCTAAATACAGCACAAACAACATTTTCCAAAAGACCAAATGAGTGAAAAAGTATATTTTAACAAAACGCATTTGACTAGCAGGTCGAACAACTGATGTTCTTAAACCCTGCTGACTGCCATTGGCGATTGCCAAATAAACGGATCACAAGATGTAACAAAACAGATCTTATTAGTAAATTATTACTAAACAAAAAACAATCAACTTGCGGAAAAGGTGGTATACCGCAAACATGAGGTGCAAAAATTTGTACACCATATCCGGATTTCGACAATTAATGTCTCTTCAGTGATGTTAGGAATCGAAACGGTATTTGGAAGGCCATATAATTTACCTCAATTTAGGATAGACTCTTGAAATTTGAAAGAGTCAAAATAGGATGAACGGATCATATAAACCCGAAGGCAAATATAATACAAGCCCAAACGAAAAAATATAAACAAGTCTAAATTGAAAACAACGTTCAAACCTATGACTGCGTTGGATAAAAACCGCAATTTTTATACGTGTGCATGCAAAACAAATTTCTCGGTAGAGGGGTCTAAATACAGCACAAACAACATTTTCCAAAAGACCAAATGAGTGAAAAGGTATATTTTAACAAAACGCATTTGACTAGCAGGTCGAACAACTGATGTTCTTAAACCCTGCTGACTGCCATTGGCGATTGCCAAATAAACGGATGACAAGATGTAACAAAACAGATCTTATTAGTAAATTATTACTAAACAGAAAACAATCAACTTGCGGAAAAGGTGGTATACCGCAAACATGAGGTGCAAAAATTTGTACACCATATCCGGATTTCGACAATTAATGTCTCTTCAGTGATGTTAGGAATCGAAACGGTATTTGGAAGGCCATATTATTTACCTCAATTTAGGATAGACTCTTGAATTTTGAAAGAGTCAAAATAGGATGAACGGATCATATAAACCCGAAGGCAAATATAATACAAGCCCAAACGAAAAAATATAAACAAGTCTAAATTGAAAACAACGTTCAAACCTATGACTGCGTTGGATAAAAACCGCAATTTTTATACGTGTGCATGCAAAACAAATTTCTCGGTAGAGGGGTCTAAATACAGCACAAACAACATTTTCAAAAAGACCAAATGAGTGAAAAAGTATATTTTAACAAAACGCATTTGACTAGCAGGTCGAACAACTGATGTTCTTAAACCCTGCTGACTGCCATTGGCGATTGCCAAATAAACGGATCACAAGATGTAACAAAACAGATCTTATTAGTAAATTATTACTAAACAGAAAACAATAAACTTGCGGAAAAGGTGGTATACCGCAAACATGAGGTGCAAAAATTTGTACACCATATCCGGATTTCGACAATTAATGTCTCTTCAGTGATGTTAGGAATCGAAACGGTATTTGGAAGGCCATATAATTTACCTCAATTTAGGATAGACTCTTGAATTTTGAAAGAGTCAAAATAGGATGAACGGATCATATAAACCCGAAGGCAAATATAATACAAGCCCAAACGAAAAAATATAAACAAGTCTAAATTGAAACAACGTTCAAACCTATGACTGCGTTGGATAAAAACCGCAATTTTTATACGTGTGCATGCAAAACAAATTTCTCGGTAGAGGGGTCTAAATACAGCACAAACAACATTTTCCAAAAGACCAAATGAGTGAAAAAGTATATTTTAACAAAACGCATTTGACTAGCAGGTCGAACAACTGATGTTCTTAAACCCTGCTGACTGCCATTGGCGATTGCCAAATAAACGGATCACAAGATGTAACAAAACAGATCTTATTAGTAAATTATTACTAAACAGAAAACAATAAACTTGCGGAAAAGGTGGTATACCGCAAACATGAGGTGCAAAAATTTGTACACCATATCCGGATTTCGACAATTAATGTCTCTTCAGTGATGTTAGGAATCGAAACGGTATTTGGAAGGCCATATAATTTACCTCAATTTAGGATAGACTCTTGAATTTTGAAAGAGTCAAAATAGGATGAACGGATCATATAAACCCGAAGGCAAATATAATACAAGCCCAAACGAAAAAATATAAACAAGTCTAAATTGAAACAACGTTCAAACCTATGATTGCGTTGGATAAAAACCGCAATTTTTATACGTGTGCATGCAAAACAAATTTCTCGGTAGAGGGATCTAAATACAGCACAAACAACATTTTCCAAAAGACCAAATGAGTGAAAAAGTATATTTTAACAAAACGCATTTGACTAGCAGGTCGAACAACTGATGTTCTTAAACCCTGCTGACTGCCATTGGCGATTGCCAAGTAAACGGATCACAAGATGTAACAAAACAGATCTTGTTAGTAAATTATTACTAAACAGAAAACAATAAACTTGCGGAAAAGGTGGTATACCGCAAACATGAGGTGCAAAAATATATATATATATATAAGTCTAGAGATTTGCACAACGATACTAATATAAGATGGTATTATACGAAGATGTTGTTAATAAATCGTGTTGACAAATATTTCGGCTTAACAAATAGCCTTCTTCATTGTCAATTATTTTAACAATACTGTATTCTAGACGATCCGGTACATAGTAAATTTGCTGGTTGGTCCTTTTTATAGACTTCTGTATTGTTAAAATAATTGACACTGAAGAAGGCTATTTGTTAAGCCGAAATATTTGTCAACACGATTTATTAACAACATCTTCGTATAATACCATCTTATATTAGTATCGTTGTGCAAATCTCTAGACTTATATAATTTTTTCCTTATCTGCACAGTATCGTCTATTCTAGACGATCCGGTACATAGTAAATTTGCTGGTTGGTCCTTTTTATAGACTTCTATATATATATATATATATATATATATTGGTATAGTGGCGGTAGGTTGATGTCTCATAGATGCATACATCTCAATCCTTCTATTCATTCAACAGACGAAGGGATGCAGGTAAATGTAGTGTAGTATTATCCAGAACAATTTCTTATAAGTCTAGATGTAGATTAGACAGGGTGGAAATAAATTGAATATAATGAAAGAAATCTTATTAACAATTTTGCTATCAGAGTAGATATGACCCGCTTGGTCTTATAATTTGTGGAGTGATATAATTTAAGTCGTTCTTCCCAATAACCGTATTGGAGTTGTATGCAAGTAAAACAATACTTGATAATAACGTAATTATATACTTTACCTTCACTTAGAACTCTTTCAAAGCACTGCATGTGCGCTTGCAAATATATTAATGAATTCAACTGCTAAAATACAGTTCCTGCGCTACATTTTAAATTCAAAAGTTAAAAGAGAATTTTATAGCTTAACATGAAATATCATAAATAAAACATTATAATAAGGGAGAAAATAATCATAAGTTGTATTATACAGATTATTTCTGCATGCATGAAACGTTTTGAAAATTTGTTAAAATGGACTATAAGTTCGTCTAACTGTGATGTTTAATTTTATACAATTAATGTGCTCGACCGAAAGTAAGTGGTCGTCGATGAGTGTTTGTTCGAAAACAATGCTGTAATATGTTGGCATATATACATACATAGTCAGGATGTTATTCATACTTTACACCGAGGAAATATAAATTGATTTCACAAAATTCAATTTGTTATCATAGCTCGTTACCATATCCGTTATTTCTTCATTTATTGAAAATAATATTTTTCGAAATCGACATCAACTTCCTCTCTTATAAAACCTTGTTTTTATATAAATGTATTTTCAAAAATGTATTGCACGTTAATTTTGGTAATAACAATGTGTAATATTGGTACCACACACACAAGAAGAAATGGTAAGTTTATTAATTTGATTGTAAGTTTTTGTCTATTCATAGTTTTAAAGAAATGCTTTATATAAAGCGGTAAATAACAATTGCTTAAACAACCATATTGTTACTTTTGAACAACATAGGTTAGCTTTTATAAATTAGTTAATCTTTTTGTTTTCCTCATACAAAGTTACTTGGGTCAATGCTTGGAACGACTGTACTGTTGCAAAATTAGATAACATCAGAGGAGATGCTGGTGATATTGACATTCCGGATATTTTACCAGCCTGGACAGGATCATCTGTACAAGTGTCAGAATGGGCAACGGTAGTTGGTAAGCAAAAAGATAGCACGATATCAATAAATCTTACTTTTAATGATTAAAGACACAGTGGCTGATCTAGTGGGAGGAGGGAGAGGGTTCCGGGGGTTGGAACCCCCCCCCCTTTTTTTTTTGACGATCAATGCATTTGAATGGGGACATATAGTTGGAACCCCCCCCCCCCCCCCCCCCCCCCCTTTTATCCTGGATTGAGAATGAGCACAACAGCCCCGACCCCTTTCTCAATTAAGATATAAGCACAAGACAAAAAAAAATACCAAAAAGTTAATACAAAACAATAATTTGAAGGAAAACAGGAAACACCATTAACAAATAAAGAAAGACAAACCCAAAAACAAAAATCAACAAAATAATACACAGAGGAATTATCAAAACAAACCCGACCAAAAACTGTGGGTGAACTCGCGGTTGTTCTGGCAGGATAAGCAGTTCATGTTCAGCTAGTGGATCCCGTCGTGTTGCTCATAGGAAGTTAAAAGTCTGTCATTACGTCAGTTTTAGTGATATCTCATCAAGTAAAGGAGGAAGGAATAGTATCAACGGCAGTAGAACATATCCATCTTTAGCACATATATTCAATAACCAAATCCTGGTGGCTCAACCATTTACATCTAAGCTAGCCAAGGATTACGATACAGTCTCCTCCTCTCCAGGAGGGGACTGGATCGTAACCCTTGGCTAGCGAAGATGAACCATTTAGAACCACTGGTTCAACAGCTTCTTTGTCTGGACTGTTACTGGATAATTGCATAGAAATGACATGTTCATAATTTTTCATAAACAGTTCCTTATTGTACATTTCTGGATATGAATGAGACTTACTAGTAATAGTATCATTAGTATCCATTTTGAAGTTAAATGGGATAGTAGTCTCAATCCAGATAATCACCAAAATTAACTCAGTAAGATGACATAATTGAGCTAAATGAAGATGCTTAAAAGATTAATTGTGATAGAAATGTTGTTACATCTGGAATGAGTTATATTCATACAGCAAAGCTAAAATTTAAGTATCGAGCCGACCTATTTTGTTTATTCTGAGATAATGTTTCAGGGACCTAATCAATACACATCGGAGGTGAATGAAACAGATAAATAGTTAAAACAAAAATGAAGATAAATGCACAATATAGACTAGAATTGAATTTAGAAAAACTTCCTCAGCATAACCACAAACATAAAAAAGTACATGTATCATTTTTAATATTTGCAGGTTGTATGTGTAAATCAACAGTAGGCGCAATGGATAAAACATTCAATGAGTTTCCTCATGATGGAGATCCAGTAATCTCTATTGATGAATTTCAATGTGCCTTTAGTTGTACAAAGATAACAAACTTTTTCACTTACAAGGTAAGAATTTATCCATTTATAAATTTGAGATATTGTAGTTTTGTATGAAACTTATTTTTGCGGCTAGTACGGTCTGAGTGGGGACGTTAGTCCGATTACCGTGTAGGGTTAAATTTCCCTTGCAACCACTCTCTGGAGTGTCCGTAGGTTTCTGTGTGGCAAGGCCAACTTTCTGCCCATATCAAACATAAAGAAATTACCCTCATTCTGAGTAACTATCCAAATCACTCGCCATTCATCCCGGTGGACCTATCTCACAGCACCTGCCCACTGAATTAAATATTAATTAAGATCCGTTGATTTATCTGTAGTCAGTGGTACATTGTTTAGTGACCTATAGTAATCCGCCTGTTCGTCCATCAGCCAGTCATAAATCGTTTCCGTTCTCTTACTCCCTTAAAATTCGGTAAAACTTGACATGTTCATCACAACTGAGGGGTTTCGCGTACAAGGAAGTCAACCTAACGTTGAAACCAAAGGATAAATACTTAGATTTAAATTTAGCCATCCCTGTGTATATGTACAAAACACGTATCAGCTATCTAATTTTTAAACCTCATTTTAAAGTTTGTTGATGAAACATGACACGATTTTTCACGATAACCGGAAGGTTACAAGAAAGAATCAAAGTACTGAAGTACTGAACATCGGATGACCGCAGGTTCTTGTGGATGGTCAAAAGCACATGTCACAGAAACAGATCACATCTCTATACCTGAAACTGAGGTTAATTTACAGAGATTTTTTTTTTCTTATACAAGTTCGTGCTTGGATGATGAATAAATGACAGGAAATTCAACCTCACCGTAATAACTATTATATTGTAGTGATACAAATCAGTATACCTTAGACTATTATACTAATATAATAATAGTTCCAGAGAATACACTGGTTTGTTGTTATATATTATATTAATATTACGGTTGCATGTATATATAATTTTCATCTATTTGTATATCATACTATTCTACTATTATTATAGTGTAATGCAAGTGCATGGTGGACACTCTTCTGTAAAAAAAAATCAAAGTCTTAAAGGCTGTAAAAGCAATTGCTGCCATGTTAATGTTTTGTGGACTTTTATTTTTCATCCATATACATAAGAATTAAACCTGACAGGACAGGAGTGTTGACTAGTGAGAAGCAAGACGGTTTTAACTTTATATCAATATAAGACTTTAGCAGGAAATCATTTTAAATATGTTTTATATTTTACAAGGAGACAACAAGTTTACCAGGCTAAAGTTGGGGTTAATTATACATGTGCTGAAACATATAACTGAAAAAAAAATCATTATGGATTATCCCCTGGTAGTGTTTGTAACTGGGCAATAATTTCCTCTATTGATTTAATTTTAACCATTTTCATAATTAATTTAAATTAACCATTCAGTTAAAACATTTCAACTTTCCAGACGCAAATGTTGAAAAACGGGACAGAAATAAAATATCTTACAAGACATAAACATGTAAAAAATAAATATATATTTCAGCTTACTAAAAATATTTTCATAATGTTACTTTGACATCATTTCTTAAAACTAAGTCCCAAACATAATTGCTCAGTTGACATGTGTCATCCTCATGCGATACGAGATAACTATAATTCTGATGCAATCCCGAAAAGGGGGGTCATCACAAACAAACATGACATTAAATTGTCATTATACGAACTAGAACAAACAGCTCTATGTTGCTTTGATATTTATCAATTTTGAGGAAACATGTGAAATAAATTTCAGGTCCATTTCATTATAGTGCCTAACAAGATTGTGTGAGGTAGACGAAATTGACCTTAAAACGATCGTATTGTCTTTAATTTGATGTCCAAAAATAGGCAGATCGGACATATAAGGACTTTATCTAATGACTACATAAATTTGGGATTTATTATTATTATAATATTCTAATGAAACTGAAAATTGTATTTTTTTTTAGGATAAACAACAATTTTACCTGGCGTAGCCGTTCATAAATGTTTTTCTGCATTTATCTTCGAAAAATGGCGTATTTAATGGAATAGAACGTTAATACAGTAAACTTTCTCTTTTTTCTCCGCAATAGGCTATCAAAAATAATTTATCTAATGTGTATGTGGAAAATTATGTGAAAAGATAAAAAGTGGCAATTGTTACCTTTCATACCTTAAGTTTCGTTCATCTGATTCTGACCAATGCTAATATACTAAATATCTATTTATATGCCGCTATTATAATTGTTGTTGTTACCAATTATGTAAATCAATTGTATCTGATTTTATGCCCTTTATGGGCCCTGTAATTTGGGAAATAAAAAAAAAATCTATTCATTGATAAAACGTAATATGGACTGGTCCAGTTTGCAGGTCATTTAATTTTCTGTACACATTCATGCACGCTCTGATTTAGTCAATATACTCGTACGAAAAAGCATGAACAGTTTGAAGGTAATCTAATAATAACTTAATCCAATCAAATTGCATAAGATTCAATAACAATGTCAAGTCCACATCATAATGAGTAATAGAGGTAAACTGGGTAGGGAGAAAATGACAGATATTTCAAGTTAATATTTATGCAATAACGAATTAAAATTTGTCAACCAAAAGTTTTGCTACAATTTCAAAAACATGTCGTTCTGTATGGGTATAGTTTTCGGATCTTTCATTAGCGTATTTAAGGCTATAAAAAGTTTGGGCTTCAAAAGTTCACACAATTATTGACTTTATACAGAAAGTTCGTCCTTGTAAAACATTTAATAGTTCACAAATGATACGCGATTTTAAAGTAAAATTATTTCTTAAAACACTGCAAAAAATTTCATTCATATTGATAAAGTGGTATCGTCATAAAGTGCGTTGAAATGAACAGTGGTATAGCAAACATCGAATTCCCTCACAAAATGTTATCACACACTACAGTAAGGGGAGTCAGTTAAGTTTGTCTATTTTTAGATACTATACAGGTAATCTTTTGACACTACGTATACAACCTGTGTGACCTGTGTAGTGATTTTGATTTTACGATAAATTCATGAATGAACGATAATTTTATGAATGAACATGAGCACCTGACCTCTTTCTTAAACACCTATTAAACATATAAAACCGTATTTAATAAGGAGATAATTCAGTCAAATTTTCAGTACTAAATCAACAACTGAAATGATTCCATTTTTTTATGAAACATCGTACGAACGGAGAACGGAATCGCAGGTATAAAAATGCACTTTTTTCCCTTGTAATGACCGCGGATCTATAATTTTTATAGATCGGTTGAAATCCCAAAACTAATTTGCATAATGGAAATTTAGGCGATAGCAATACATCGGAACGACCTCAAGGTCATCCTCTGTAAAAAGCATGCATTGAAACCACTTCTAGATGACAGTTACACAGAAGAAAACTGTACATCGAAAGTCATGAACAGAAACTTAGTTCAACTTAACTAGCCTGCATGTGCATATAAGACGAGTTGGCATGAATGCTTCAGGTATGCATGATGCTGTTAATGAAATTGAAAGAAGTTTTGATCATGTTTATGCATCAATTGTATAATGCATAACAACTACTATCTACATAAATCAAACAAAAAACAGTATGTCTCAAATCAGACTAGGGGTATACAATATAATACATGTCATTTTTATAAAGGGATTTGTATTTCAAAAGTTACGAAAAAGAGTGCAGTACATTTTTAAAAAATATTTAAAATGATCATTTACAAGAAGTAAAAAGGTGGAAGAAATCCTTTAAAGTGATTATGAAATATGAAATGAATTGCTTCTTTATTTGTCATGAGCATCTTATTACATATATTATAACATATGTAGGTATTTCCGTCTTTACAAAAATGGACCAAAGTTATACCAGCGTATTTTCTTTAACATTACCTGCTATATAATTAAATGAAACTTGACAATGTGAGAACAATGTTTACACCAAAATCACTGTAATTTTTTTTCAAAGGATCATTTTTGCCAATGTCTCAACAATCATACAACTACACAAATGAACACACTAGATAAAATGAGACAAAATTGTGCACGACCTTTACATGATCCAAGTCAGTGTGACTTCCTATTGTATAAATTCCAGTCCTGTAAGTATAATGAATTTAAGAATTTAACAAAACTCATATTGATATGCAACTTTTAATGTAATTCATTTAAAACTCAAAACTTAGTGCCTTAGGATTAACCGTAGCAATCACTTGACCTCATTTTCATGGTTTATAAGTCAAGTTTTCTAGGTTATGTTTGTTCCTCGGATACTATAAGCAATAGGTCAACTATATTTGGTGTATCGAATGATTGCATGATGTACATGCTGTACATGATGTCTGGAAGGGTTCATCTGACCTTGACTTTATTATAATTAGGAAAGTAGTTTCTCAGAAACTACAAACAAAAGGCTAACTATATCATGTAAAGTTAACATGTCTGTCTGGCAGGGTCACCGACTTTGACCTAATTTACAATTACCATTGATAATGTTAAGGTCACGTAATACTTTTAGTTAAACCTTCATGTTACACAATTTCAACATAAATTCAATCATGATAAGTAAAGTAGGTCAGACATTTCAGGGTTAATTTTCATACAACTGGAAAATTCATGAAGATTATATATATTTGTCCTAGTTCAATATGATAACGGATGTGACATACTATGTTATGGTGGTATTACCTCGTAAATAGAAATATCAGGGTTTTAATATTCGAAGACATGTTGGAGTAAATGCTGGTTAATTTATTTTTTGGTGCAACTGATGGTGAAAGAGAGTCGATACCAATAGGGCATTCGAAAATCATAAGTCTAATAAAAACAGACAACACCATGTAAAAAAACGACAAAAGATCAAACAACAATAACATAACATTAAATAAAAAACAGAAGACTGAGGAACACGAACCCCACCAAAAGTGCTCCGGATGGGGGAAAATTCCTGCTCCACATGTGCCACTCGTCGTGTTGATCACGCAAGTATACATCAAGTAATAAGCCGCTTTCGGTAATGTTCGATCGTGAAAACAAGGACGGGCTTGTTGTTACGACAAGTGGATCATATCCGTAGTAATATGTGACACAAATATTACATATCGGTTATAATATGATTTAATTGGATTGCAATCAAAATTAGTCAGTTTTCTAATTACCGACTTTCTTTGCAAAATTTGATTTTTTTTTGCACAGAGAAGCCAAACTTACGTTAGATCCTTCACAATACACCTTGTTCGTTCCATTTTCTTTGAATACTAGTAATCAGAGATTCTACCTCTTATGAGGTGGGGTTTCAAATTGAACAGACATGTATCAGGAATCTGTGTTCAGTAGTTGTCGTTTGTTGATGTGGTTCATAAGTGTTTCTCATTTCTCGTTTTTTATATAGATTAGACCGTTGGTTTTCCCGTTTGAATGGTTTTACACTAGTAATTTTTGGGGCCCTTTATAGCTTGCTGTTCGGTGCGAGCCAAGGAAAAGTGTTGAAGACCGTACTTTGACCTATAATGGTTTACTTTTTTTAAATTTTGACTTGGATGGAGAGTTGTCTCATTGGCACTCATACCACATCTTCTTATATCTACGTTTGAAAATTGTCAACCGCTCATTATGAATGGCATTTCATGGATGGCCATATGTTTTGGTTGATAAGACTGCATGCTGATCACTGTTGTAAATATCCTTACTCTATATTTTTTATACATTGACGTGACACTTCTTTTGTAGACGACGAGAGAAAAATACAGAAACGAATCACCGATAGATATTTATTTCAGTGTATCAAACTAAAACAAATGACTGGAAATGATAAAGCACATTATCAGTATGCTACAACTAGATTCAAGGAAGGTATAATATCAGATACTTTTAGAAATGTCCTGATAATGTATATATATGTATCGCGACTATGTTTTAAATTCTTATAACTGTTTTTAATCAAGTGCATTTGTTAAATGTTCACTTAGATTATTAACACGATCGAAAGTAAATAGACATGTTGTCGGAGAATTAATGAGAGGCGTATATTAACAATAAGTTCTTATAAACTAAAGATCTGGCCAATCCAAACTCTAAAAGGACAAGAATAGTTACTCCAGAGTGGTGAGTATATCGGACTGAACCGTTTATGGAACAATTAGTCTGCTCTATCAAAAATCATTGTTAAACATATAACCTCTTGACCTTGTAGAGCAAATCAGCTGTTATATGAATATATTATAATGACCGTATATTTTTTAACATTTCTAAAAAGAAAAGGAAACAACTCTAGAGTAGATCTTGATTTTATTTCTTCCTTAAACGGGACCGGAATGCGTCCTTTTTTTCAATAAATCGTCCAGAAAATTCGTCTAAAATAGCACAATAATATTATGTCCTCGGCACACAGGAGTTGTTTACAATCGGCTTTCCATGAAATGTTAGGAAGACAGAAATTAACCTTTATAGTCTTCTCATTAAAATACCTGTCATAGTAAAACATTATGTTTGAAGATGATAAAAGACAAAACAAAATAGTATAAATCTTTCGTTTATATGAATCATTATGTGTCAAAATATAGATATGAGTGTCAAAACTTTCCAGAAAAAAAATCTTATCTAATAAGTCAAACCATTAACAACTGCTCTCCTACAATTTTTTCTTATCTGTGCTGTTACGCCGTTGTTCTAGGTTAAAACATGAGTCCCTGTTCATTGTGATGTTCGTGTTGCTCAGATCTTAGTACTATTCTATGAAATGTTTTGTTCAATAGATGAACAATTGATAATCAATAGGATATCTGTAGAATAATGTCATGATTCATTTGAAATGTAAAATATAACTAATATTTTCTACATAAGCTAGCAAGCAAAAAGTGTTTGTCTTTTAATTCTTTTTCTTTTTTTAGTTTTTTTTGTTTAAAAATATTGTAAAAGAATTTGTTGAAAATTGTTTTAATATCTGCATCGTTATATATTTTAAAGACCTTCCGTCGATCCGAATGTACAATTGTTCAAGTTTAAAAGGAAAATTCATGAAGACTTTTGCAAATGGTAAAAATGGTGAATATAACCAGCTGAATATTTTATTCAGATTGTATTATGAAGAAGTGGACGACAAGGGTAATACTTTTTTTAATACTGATATATATTAAAAATGATCTTCTCATTTAAACCTTTACAAAATAAATTCGTTTTCTTTTATGAATAAAACAAATAAATAAAATTAGTTTGAAGATATTAACATTACTGAAAACTTGAAATAAAGTAAGAAAGTTTTGAACTAGTGACTGATTTAAACTTTCTCTTTCATAGATGTATATTATACATTGCAGTTGGTAAAATTGCGATGATTAAACTTTTCAATTCCAACAGAACATCTACTATTCTTGTAGATACTGTATGATGCCTATTGAACACAAAGTATTGAACATAACTACAACATTTAACACCATTGTTTTAAGCCCGAAGAACGTATGAAAAAGTACATTAACGAACTTTTAGAAGAGTTGTTCCGATCGCCATAATTTATATGATTTTATTGTAGATAACGCCTAATACTTTAGAATAATGGACGTCTATGACAGCACCATTTGTCTGTTCGTAGTTAATCAATCATCTGTCAAATAAACGCTGCCCTCTAATTTTTATTCAAATCAAAATCGAACCTAACATTTTTTTCGATACTTGAAAGTTTACGCTTTTGCAAATTTAACAATAAATTAAATGTTTTATTATTTTAAGTCAAGGTGAACAGAAAATGTGTCGCATTAGAATCTTGCACAGAGAAATATAATGCATCATCGTATTCATTCCAACTCAGAGACTGTAATGATAAATTACCAGTGTTATGTCGGGGACATAGAAAAGGTAACTTAGTTTAAATTTTTAAGATACACAAAACACTTTTATTTTGTGTACTTGTAGCTTCCTGTATCATTTTCATCAGCCGAATGAAAAAACCCATCTTGTTTATTATTAATTTCATGCGATTCCTTGTAACAGTGTGTATTTTGTGATAATTGTGTAATTAAGAGGGACGGAAAAGGAATTCCTCTCAATTTTATTTAAAAAAAAAGATGAGTCAATCGTCCCCGCAAAAAAATTACGGTTCGTGACACTATTGTTCAATCCTTTTTTACGAACTGAAGTGTATTACTATGCTGGCAAGGAGAAATGAAATTTTCGTTTTGGTTATTAGTAGAAACAATTTCAATCATTGTAATGAAAAGTTTATATAATGTTGGATTATTTAATTAATAGAGACTAAAAATGATTCTAATGTTAGTACAACGTCCTTCATCACACCAGTAGAAAATGCGAACCATTTGAATGAAGGTAAGTATAATTATTTTACCTACAAATGTAAAAGAAAACATAGACTTTATTAAACTATAATATTTTTTTTATATTATGAAGATAATTCATGATACAAATATTTTCATTTGTTTATCATTGTTCAATATTTCCGTTTCCAATCACACAAGCATACAGTCCCCCGCAGATACATATAGTTTTGAAAGAGAAATTAATTCCTCTAGAAAGACAAGACTTGTACATGTCTTTTAACTCATTTATTAAATGATAAAACACAAATGAATACCAAGATTTGCTTACAGTTTTCCCTAGATATTGACAACTTCTAATTAAATAAAGATACATTGCATCTTGTATAACATGTATAAGCTTTCTTGGTTTGAAATAAATTAATATATAAAGATTTGGAAAAAAAATGTTTGTTAAGTTTAATTGATTTAAATATTTCTTAAATGAGTTTCTACAAATCTGCTGTAGGAACTGCTGTAATGGGGGTAGTGAATGTTTTATTGTTCGCATTGTTGATGATCTTTGCTCTCCTGTACGTAATGGTAAATAGAAGAAGGAATGCATTACCATATCCACGCAAAGTAAGTCATGTTAAATAAAACATGGAGGAAGATTTTTAAAATTTCAAACAAGATATTTGACCTTATTTGCATTTTATCAGAACAGTAGAAAAGTATATATTATATATTTGTAGAAGAATTCCGAAACACTGCGTGTATAATATTGACACAATAAGGGTATCATCCATATTGTATCATCCGTGTTTAATCAATATAATAAAATATATGAAAATAAGAATATGTGGCATAAATGCCAATGAGACACCTCTCAACCAGACACCAAAGGTCATCATACGGCCTTCAACAATTAGCTAATCCCATACCGCATTAAGTTTGCTCCCACGTTTGGCGTGATAAATAAGGGGTTATGTTTTGGCGATCTTTTACTGATAAATTATGCATATGTAATAGCGGCGTCCGTTATATTTTATTCAATAGAATAGCCAGCGACATTTTGTCTTTTCTATTCAATTGAGTATGCAATTTTACAAAGGAGTCATATTGTCTTACGTCTAATCACCAAGATCTCAAAGAAAAATGATGATAATAAAAAGTAACATCACAAAAATACTGAACTCCGAGGAAAATTCAAAAAAAAGGTCCCTAATCAAATGGCAAAATCCAAAGCTCAAACACATCAAATGAATGGATAACAACTGCCATATTCCTGGTTTGGTACAGGCATTTTCTTATGTAGAAAATGGTGGATTGAACCTGGTTTTATAGCTAGCTAAACCTCTCACTTGTATGACAGTCGCATCAAATTCTATTATACTGACAACGATGCGTGAACAAAACAAACAGACACAATAGGTAAAAATGTCAATATAGGGGTATAGCAGTCAACATTGTGTTATCATCTTAATCACTATAAAAACAAACAAATGTAACAAAGAAGCACAAAAAGGCATACATCAAATTTTAACATCCTCATTTTGCTTTTTTATTATACGATTTTATTTATCTATGTAAAATCCACCCATAAAGGATGGAAGGTTTTAAGTCCTGGTGTAGAATCGCGCGTTTAACTGACATAGTTTTAAAAAAAAAGGAGCTGTGTGTCATTATTGTTAATGAGACAACTATCCACTAAAGACCAAAGGACAAGAATGTAAACATCTACAGTTCAACGCACTGCCTTCAACAATGACCAAAACAAATACCGTGTAGTAAATTAGAGGCATCAGTAGTGTACAGATGTTCGAATCTCATAATCAATTGAGAAAATACAACTTAAAGTAAAAATAAAGTGAGAGAATCGCACGAACTCCAAAAGGAGCGAGACCGGATGCGTCGACATGATAAGCGTCTCCTGCTACGCTGGCATCACCCGACATGCGAATCCACACTCGGTTCAAATGTATAATCCGGAATAGCACATAATCGGGAGATTTACAAATAGTCATCTAACAATCTAAAACCACGGAAACATAGCGCCAGTGAGATTAGACATAGATGCATCGTATTTGGATGGTGACTTTAAAACTTGTGTAGTTCCAACAATAGTTCCTAGAAGACACAATTGATTTGAAACAATGCAAACGAAAATACCAACGGCCGGTTTTATACTGTAAAATAAACGGTACCAATAAATCGGCACCAGATGCACATTTCGACAATCAATGTCTTTTCAGTGATGATCGAGACCAAAACATTTTAAAGTCAAAAACATAATAAGTACGTTGAAGAGCTGATAAAAACCAAAAGGAACCACAAGTAAAGCCAAACCCGGACAAGGAATCAGAGCTATGTATGATAATAGATGAAAACAATTTTGACAGACAGCACAAAACTACAGCCACTGGTCTACATAAAACCACGTCTATCCATTTGAAATCTTTATTGAGATTTTATCAGTCAAAGTCATGTGAAATAGACCTATCAAAATAATCACATTCACCAGCGAACGGGAGCAACGGAAGATATGGTTTTAATCAGGTCAGGTGTTTAAAGTCCAACAGAGCTTCCATATATCCCTGAATAACCCTAACAAGCACTTCTTCACATCATGTTTATGTCGAACAATACATCTTTTGCAAACTAGGAAGAGGTCTTCTAATTTTCTGAATTACATCAGGTGTAAACTGCAAACAGTTCGAAAACTATAAAACAAATAATTCTAAATGATTCATTGGACAAAAAAATGTTAAAAATTGTAACAATATAGATAACATAATTATACAGCACATGTCAACATCTATTAATGCTCTCTTTTATATAGATGAAGAAATCAAAGATTATAGAAGTATGAATGAAAAAAATGGATTATCTATGGATTTAAAAGTTGTTCAGCATATTCATCTGTTCTGATATTTTGATCATTAAACAGAAATACTATGTCAAATATCATGACGGTTTTTAAATTGTTTTCGGAACTTAAACTTATGTTTATACTTGTATTTTTGTTATCTTCTATACTATTTGCATAGTAGATGTTTTTATAGTGTTTCTGCTGACCTTTTTTATTCCAATTATCGAGATTAAAGAAATAAGAAATGGTAAGCATTATGAAAGACAAGAATGAGGCCAAGTTAATTTTTTATACCCTTGCAAAACTTAACTAAAATTCCAATTTGTTGTGAAAACAATTCATAACTTGTCTCCATATTGGTTGATTAAGAGCTTGCTTTGCACATGGTATACATGCTTGTCTATGGTTGTAGACAATAGGTTGATCCTTAGTTGATATCTCATTCATAAATTGAGAAAATTAATTATCTGGAGATAAATTAGGATTATCTCAAAATCGCTCAGAAAAACCTAGATTTTCTAATTATTTTGAGATAAACCGGGATTTTCTCCAGATAATGAATTTTCTGAGATAAACTAGGATTTTCTTGAATTTGAATTAAGCTGAGATAATCTTAGTTTATCTGAGATAAACTGGGATTATCTGAGATAAACCGGGATTATCTGAGATAATCCTAGTTTATCTGAGATAATCTAGGATTATCTATAAAAGTGGTTCAGGCGTGCCATATATATCTATAGTTTTTATATATCTTATATCTAAGGGCACTATAATTAAATAGTAGCTGTTTCATAGTTTCATCAGTGTCCTGTATGAGGTCCTGCATACAAATCCTTATCAAATATGCCTTATACTTGTATCTTTGTACATAGTTTGGAAGCCGGAATGATATTTTATTCAATTTTGTATATTAAATGTTCCATAATGATAAATTTTAAATGTGTATTTTGCAATTTGGACGGGACGTAAAATGACTGTCAATACAACTATATGTTTTTATGTATAAATTCATTCCCATCTTTTGTACTTCGACCAAATCATTCATCTTTTAACGCATGTAAACACTGAGAACGTGTTTCTAATGTTTAAAAAAGAACAAAATTTACTCAATAAAAAATGAATGACACGAATCAACCATAAGGTAAGCAATCAAAAATGTTAACCTTTATGATATTTTAGTGTTGCAAATGTCTGTCATTCCGTATTTACGTTATTCTAAAGTGAACATTTGTCCGGACTTATTTTCTGATATAGCTGCACATATTCATCGGATTGTTTTAGACATTTTTGTAGGTATCGGATTTTGTGCCAGTTGACAGATTTTGGCGAAATAATTACTTGTATTTAGAAAATTCGCGTAAACTGAACTTTTCCCCGATATTTTTTTTTTTTTTTTTTTTTAATTACCTTAGATCTTGAGTTCGTTAGGTACATTAGTGTGCAATGACTTAAATATCGAGTTGGCGTTCCGTTCCAATTGACAAGACTTTTCGCAAAGAAAGTCTCCAGATGTTTCATGTTATATCGACAATACCTAAATGAAGTTCATGTGTTCTTCCAAAAAACAAAATGCTAAATGGAATCGATACATTATTTTTTTTTAAAGAGAAAGAAACTTTCAGTTTTAAGTCAGGTGTGGCATGGTTAATTACATCAAATATTTGATGGTCAATAATTAAATCAGTTTAATGATCTTTCATCTTGATAATGTTGACATTTTATGGAATGCACTGTAGAGTTGCAATCACACAGATAAGTAAATGAAAATAATTAGTAAACATAAAGTAAGGGTTTGGTATAAAATAAACAACATAATGATGTTAATAGAAAGTTTATTCTGGTAAGTTTTAATATAGTTGCTATCTACATGTGTACGTTTAAAATATTTTTTTCTTGTGAAACAGGCACTGTATTTGTTATCACTCATTGTATATTGTACACAGTTTACGAATATTAAAAATGTGAACATTAAACAGACTTAACATTAATAACTAGTAGATGTTGATGGAGAAATATAGCTGGTTCCCTATGTTAAGGTTCATCATAACAAATGGACAAAAATGGCTGTGTTTAGACCTCAAAAACTACTCTGAGTACAGACTAACCTGTGCAGTTGGAAAAGTTTTAAGTCCTGGCATCCACTAGATATATAGAAGTTAAACGCATTTTGTGTTTCAGAAAGATAAAATATTTTTTTTGGATTTTGATGGGCATTTTTTTTCGTTCCTGCAGAAGGTGTAAAAATTAACTAAGTTGGGATACAACTTTGAGATGCTCCGTCTCAGGTAACAACTGTATTGTACTGTATGGATTGTAATTGATTGGCATGGACAATAGACAGACAATAGATATCTACACAACTATAGGTGAGTTAAAGGGTGTAACTGAGTGGACAGTATCAAATGCAGTTCAGGTGTTTGTTTATTTTTACACCTTCTGCAGGAACGAAAAAAAATGCCCATCAAAATCCAAAAAAGATTTTAACTTTCTGAAACACAAAATTCATTTAACTTTTATATATCTAGTGGATGCCAGGCCTTAAAACTTTTCCAATTGCACAGGTTAGTCTGTACTCAAAGTAGTTTTTGAGGTGTAAATACAGCCATTTTTTTTCATTTGTTATGATGAACCTTAACGGGTAATGTCACATTAGACAGACTAATTTATGAATAACACGATCCCGAACGAATAGTTCTGACATGAACAATAAACAGTTAAAACTTGACCCGTTAAACGAGCGAAATATAAATCTAATTACAGAAATTTGATTTAATCATTTGTTGCAGGCATAAATTCCACAATCATGTATGCGAAATTAACCGCCTGTTCGTTGTTCGTTATTCGATATCCAATCAACTACTACTAACAATGTTCAATGTACTAGTCGGTTCTATATTCAGATATTCTTAGTCAAAAATATTTTTAAAATATGAAAAATTCAGTAACATAAAAAATGATATCCATAGTTTAAGCGGTTAGTATAATCAAAGTGCTGGATAGCAACTGTGGAAAGTTTGCAACGGTAGATGTGTATTATTTCAAATAGGTTGTAGATGTGTATTATTTCAAATATGTATTTAACCACAGCTTTGATGTTTTTTACTAAACCATTGTCTCATCAGCAATTATCAAAAATCACTTTTTTTTTTATACATTTGTCATGTAAAATTTTGATAATTTCTATTGCAACCTTCAACTGTAGATTTAAAATAATCTAATATACAGAAAGCTCTGTTAATTTCTTTCTGTACCCATCCCATGTAAAGGGCCTGTGATTTTAGTATTTTTTATTGATTTAGGTCCTTCATATTTGTTTTTGGTAATTTGTATTATTACTAATTAAGCAGTTAGTTTTCTTGTTTGAATTGTTCCACATTTTTTATATTAGGGCCTTTTATAGCTTACTATATGGTATGAGTTTTTCTCATTGTTGACGACCGTATGGTGACCTATAATTGTTTATATATCTTCCTCCTTTGAGCTCTTTTGGATAGCTGGTTCATTTGCAAAAAATACCACATTTCTTAATTTAAATAAGACAGAAAACTTAAATCAATACAACTGTAATGAAAGTGAATTTATATGAAAGGCTTTAATCAACAATGGCAATATGTAGACAGGAATAAAAAGTTAATATATATTAGATTCGTAGAGGTAAGTTTATAACCATGTTATACATTTTAGTTGCTGCTGTGAAATTCAGCATTGAGGCAATGACATTATGAGATTTTTGGTTTTCAGCCATTCATTTGATATAATCTTAGCCTGTGTGTGAGTTGACACATTGTTAATTACATGTATATGTCAATCTTAAAGAATCATAAAGACCCAGGAACAAAGTGTGAGGTTCATATTGTAAATTCTGAAATTGAATGTCAAGGTCAGTTTGATGCTTCTGCGTACACAGTTTTGTCAATTAAAGGGCTACAGTTCAAAACGTATGCACCAAACACAAACCAGACACTATTTAACTATCATAGGAGTCAAATGAGAAAGGTAAGTGGTATATGATACACCCCAAGCCCAAAATGCAACAACATTTAAAGGTACAAAAGATATGACCCAGACACGAATTGTACAAGGTTTTACTATCATAGGTATCCAAGGACAAAGTCAAGGTCAAATTGATACAACTTTGGGATATGACATGTCCAAAGAGCATGATGCAAATGCCTACTGATTTTGATAACCCAAAGTTTAAAGCACAAACTTTATGAAATGGGCGCAAATTGGATAAAGTCAACTATCATAATCATTTCAGATTCTATGACTTAACCTTTTCTTTGATTACTTATAATTAAATTAGAGAAAATTTAAGTATAGTGTTTTATTCATGCATCCATCTGTTTTATTAAAATGCAATGTCATAAGCATAGATATAAATTGTATATAAAAAAATTTTTGCTATACATATTATAACGTGATAAGTAAAGAAGCTAATAATAATCAAAGTTGTGTATGGGTTTTAAGCATTAAGAAAGTAATTTTGCTGGAAAACTTAACTCATTGTTTTAAACACTTTACAATATATTAGGTAAAGCCTTAGTATAATAGTCCCAGGTAAAGCACTGTCTATATTACATGGACACAAGTTATTTAATCATTTCTACCGCACTTGTCTTGGCACACTGGGCTTTTCAAAGACGTAGAAGCTGACTTGGCTGCTTTTAATACACTTGACTGTACTAAAGTTATCCTTATCCTTGTAACAATTTGTGTAGTTGTTAATCCTAACACTTATAATTAGGAGGCTGTGAACTGTCGTTAAGGCAATGTTTTTCTGCTGTTATTTGGATCCACTTAGTCCTTCTGCCTGCATTGAAATGTCAAATAACTAGTATTTCTTTGCTGAATTGAAAGTTTGTAAATGTGTTTTGGCATCAAAACCTTCCGATCTATGTATTGACAAAAACAATGCAATTTTCTATCAAAGCCGGTATTTACCTTTACTCATCCTTGGCATGTGACTATAGACAGAATCAATATGAATATCGAGTATTTTATTATCCTGTCACCTGTTTGTTGTTCAATCAAACTATTATCCCTTGTTAATTTAAAGCTGCCGGCCTGGTCAAAATATGAACAGTAATGTCAATTACGCTGATGGATAACTCTGACTAAATCAAAATCGGCCTATTACAAACTCGGACTAGAACCAACTCGGCCTACCATTATTTATATGCAGAATTATTATTGAAGAAACTCAGACTACAATTTTTTTTGGAAAAATTCCCTTATTGATTGATGTCTCCAACCGGTTTATTCCTAATATTTCATTTTTTTTAGTCTTACCTACAAATCCTTGGTCTTAAATATTAAAGTTTATTCTCTGGCACTTCTTTTGGATCTGGAGGGGGGTCTTCATTTCTGTATTCTTTATTTTTTATGCCATTTTTCTCCATTCTTTATATTTTAACACCTCGTTTTTCTCAATTCTTTATTTTTTGGTCAATATTTCTCTTTACAAGTATTCTTCATCTTTTTTGTCCATTATTTTCTATTCTATAAACGACCTCATAAACCCCTGTCAACACCCTTCTTCACTTTCCGTAATTTTGTTTGAAATATAAATAAAAATGCCTATATCGTTTTTCTGCATAGCTTTTTTCAACTCGAAACTTCTCCGGTTATTCGTGTAGGCATTTTCAACTTTTCAATGTTTTACCTGGGATAAGCCCCCTGTTACAATTTCAGCATCGAATAAAATCGAATCCTTGATTGTTTGCAATTGTTTACATTGAGTGGTATTTATAGATTGTGTTTATTGCAAGCACATGGTCGAGCCTATATCTCGATTTCGTTGGTAACTAGTTATATCGCGATGACGACTGGTTCCCTTTGATTAGAGAAGGGGAAAACGTAAATAAAAAAAATAGGGATACCAGTGAACGGATGAAAACAAGGTCGGCGACAAATTTGTACTTGTTCTCATAGATGCAATAACATACCGGCTACAATTTCGAAAACGATTTCAGATGCTTCTGCACAAGTCCGATTAGGTTTAAACTAGACAGGGGCTTCGGGCTATCGCTTAACGTCGAAGACTGTAATCCAATGAATTAAACGTAGAAACCGCTGTCTGGTGTAGATGTGTATTGATTTAATCTTCCGCGCAGGGCAGATCCGCGAAGTAGTGTTTGTGATACCCATTTTCTAAATGAAGTTGAATTCATTTGAATTGTCGGTGAACATTCAGTCCATTTTTATTCAAGCTGTAAACTTATCAAAATAGAAGTAACTCAAAATTTCAAAAGCATCTTTCTAGAATTAGTATTCAAACACTAGTACTACATTATCTAGGAGTCGAACACATATCCTATAGTAAGATAGTCTGTCCAACTTCCGGTTTGAAGCCGATGCCATAGGAAAGTATATTGCTATAGCAAACTATAGCAAACTTTCCAAAAATAAAAAGATGAGGTGTGATTACCAATGAGACAACACTCCACCAGAGACCAAATGACGTAGAAGTTTGGTTTACAATGAGTAAACAGTTATGTAGGAAATAAATTTTAGCTCCCTTCAACTTATCACCTGTTTTGCAATATCTTGAAGATCTACATTTTATAGTCTATTGAGAATGTCCGTTTAAGTTTGCCATAGTTATATCTATATGTATATTGCTTTTACAAGAGTGCCATGTAAATTTTTTGTTTCGTTTTGTCGATAAAACTCTATTAACTCTAAAAATGAAAATATCCATTTTGGCCTTCCATCGTTATATCTTTCTATATTTTCACATATGATGTAACTATGGTATTCTTTTGTTTTTGTATTCCTTTTCTGAAATATCAGTTTTGATTCTTTTTAGTTGACAATTATAGTTTACATAACTAGTGAGAATTGGATATCGCTTGTTATTAGCTCGAGTTATTTTATTTCAATATAAATAAATATAAACGAGCCTTCGGCGAGTTTATTATTACTTTTTATATAAAAACAAACGAGAGGTGATATCAAATAATATCAATAT